GCCTGCACAATACAGCTGCCGAACTCTTTGAGGCACAGCGGCATGCCCAAATTAGTTGACTCTCACTCTCAAGGGCGGGCAACAATATCTTGTTAGAAGCCGACCTTCAGCCCCTCTTCATGCCGCCAGAGAAGTCCCAACTTTGCACACACGCCATGAAAGCGATGACAGCTGGTTAGGCCGATTCCCAGAAACACACCCGATCGACCCACAATTAAGGACGAATAAAAGCGAGAACCAAGGCCATACTCGCCAAGATCATGTGCAACGATATGTAGGTCTTTTTTGTTTATGCTGCAAAATATTGGAATCAAGGTGCGTAGGCACCTTGATTCCAATATTGCACGGGAGCTTCTGTCATTTACTCAGACTCTAAAACAGCTATAAGAACTTTTTCGGTGGCCCTAGTTTCTTCGAAGGCCGCTACGGTCATTAACAGGCTCTTCAACTATGAGAGGAGGAAAATTTTCTGTCCTCACACATTGCATTGTTTCCGGCCCACATGAGAAACATTCACGGCTTTCCTGGCTGCAGCCCAAACGAGCGCGCGCACTAACTGGCGGGAGAACTCACTGTCCGCGTCTGCGGTCCGCCCCCTCGCTTCAGTGCAGCCTGCAGATACCTCGACCACAAAGACCCGCTCGTATCATGTCACGAACTCACCTCGCATATTAGAACGTCGAACTTTTCCTGCTTATCATACAAATCTGATCACAGCACAAGCAATCACTTACAGACAGTTGCAGACTCGTAAATACATCATACCAGCGACACTAAGCAGGATCAATTCTGACTTCTCCACTGTATGTCCACACTGTGGCAACGAATATAACAATATCGACCACATGCCCAGTCATATGCCCTGTCAACGTGGGTACAGAATTTTCTGACCAGTCCTCCTGGTACTCCGCCCTTCGAAGCACAGAGCTCATCGTTCAGCTCAATGCTGTCCAGAAGGCCCAGGCCGTCACCGAAAGGCTCTGTCTACCGTTCCCGACCTGGGTGGAGCCGCCGGATTAATTGGCAGGGCTCTCGGCACCGTTTTGTTTTTCTTTTCAGGACCCTAATAATGTTCACACTCGCTCACTCACTACCATTCAGTCGAGCTATGCGGGTGCCACAGGGCCCGCAACGTTCTTAAGCCGTCGTGCCCCAATGAGAAGTAGTCACCATGCACGACCACCTGTGATATGGCCTCTTGCAAGACCACGACAAGAAGGCAAGTCAATTTCCTTAAAAAATTATTTTGTAAGTAAGCCCTCATTCAAGTCAATTTTGTCTGATGATTAACATAATCTTTGGTATACCGGAAGGCGAAAATGAAACAGAGGAAGAAATAAGGCAGAAAGTTTTGCATGACGTATTTGATAAGCTCCTTGGTGTTAAAGTTAATACGGTCGAAAGAATTCACAGGTTGGGAAAAAAGCGTGACGATAAGACCCGCCTTGTGATCATGAAGTTGTTCGATTACAATGAAAAAACAGCAGTATTCAGCAACTGTAAGAAGCTGAAAGGTTCGGAAAGTTCCGTGTCAAGTGATTACTCGCAGGAAACATTGCAAAAACGCCGAAACTTGTGGGAGAGTGCCAAAAAAGAAAAGAGTAGTGGTTGAAAGGTCAGACTTGCGCATGACAGAATTACCATTGATAACGAAGTATTCTGCTGGGGCGATGAATAGAACTGCAGAACTAAAATTCAAAAGAGGAAGGTGAGCGCTGACGGACACCTGTCACAATGTGCACCGAAACCTGATGATTTCACGTTGATAAACATGAACGCGAGAAGCCTAGCTAACAAAGCCCTAGAACTTGAGCGTTTGCTTATTGTGCACAATCCCGATATTGTCATAGTGAGTGAAACTTGGCTGCGTCCAGACATAAAAGATACCGAAATAATTCCACCCGCCTACAAAATGATCCGCAATGAATTCTCGCGGAGTCGGGGTGGCAATTATCTATAAACAGGGAATGAAACCCGTACTCATGAATGATTGTCCGGGCACAGAAAGTGTTAGATGTAAAATAACGTCGACTGGAATAACTTACGTTATTGGTGCTGTCTACAGACCCCCAAATGCTCCTGTTGCCTTTTTGGAAGCCATACAAGAATACATTTTGAACAACGTCCCCTCAAACGCACGCGTAATCCTGGGAGGAGATTTTAACTTGCCCGGGATATGTTGGGATACTCTGAAAACAGGTTCTGTAGATGCTAAGCACAGCGAGATGTTGCTGGATATTGCCTTTAATAATGACTTCATCCAAGTTGCAAACGAGACTACCAGGATGGGTCCAATAACAAACTCAATCTTAGACTTGATATTAGTGAATATGAACATAGAGGAATACGCCGTAACGGTTCACGATGGCCTCTCTGATCATAAAATAGCATTGCTTTGTATTAAGAAGTTCATTTTACCCAGCCATGTTAAAAGAAATGTAATCACGGTAAAGGATTTTAGCCAAGCTGATGATGTTAGCATTTTGGACCATCTAGAAATATCTCTGGATTCATTTCACGTGGAAATAGACGTCAATCAATTGTGGTGTACATTTAAAAGTATAGTTCATTACAGCTTGGGTAAGTTTGTACCGCAAAGAAAGAAAACTGTGAGGAAACGCAATTCTTGGATGACTCACCACCTAACCTAAGCACCTAATTCAGCTCAAACGCAAAATTAGGTGCAAAAAGCACTACGCAGAAAAAATCAAAGCGAGATATTTTCTCTTTCGTACACATTAAAGCTCAAGCTGTCAGCTGCGAAGGAAAACTATTATTCAAACACGCTTTCCGAATTTATGAAAGTTTCACCCCTACGGTTTTGGCGTCACCTTGCCGAGCCTAAAGAGAATGTGCAGTACCTTGATGTTAGTGGAAACATTGTTACTGATAGTGCGCAGATCGCTAATAGGTACAACAATTACTTTCGTTCTGTGTTCTCAGCTCCAGAAGTTCTAAGAACAAATTGTTATTACAGAGGAAGGCATTCTTTCGATTCTTCTCGAGATGGATACAAAAAAAAATCTATTGGCCCCGATTGTATACCGAGTGAATTCATGAAGCGTTACGCAGAGTGGGTTGCGAAATACCTAAGGGTTATTTTCAAAGCATCCCTAGAGCAAAATACATTACCAAGTGACTGGTTAACTGCCAAGGTAGTCCCTGTTCATAAGTCTGGAGCAAAATGCAGCGTTGACAATTACATACCAATCTCAATTACATGCATATGCTGTAAAATACTGGAACATGTCGTGTCAAAATGCCTATACAAGTACCTTGAGGATTCAAATATTCTGGTCCCTAGCCAACATGGTTTTCGGCGGAATTTATCAACTATTACTCAGCTAGTACAAACCACCTACAATTTTGCACAATCTCTAAATGAAACGGGTCAAATTGATGCAGTTTGCCTTGATATGTCAAAGGATTTTGATCGTGTTCCCCACGCGCAGCTGACAGAGAAACTGGTACGCCTTGGCGTAAATAGGAAGTTGATAGAGTGGCTTAAATCGTGCCTTTCTAACAGGGCACAATTTGTTGAAGTTAATGGTGTGAAATCCCGTACTTTAGGTGTGAATTCTGGTGTCCCCTAGGGCTCCGTGCTCGGCCCGGTGCCCTTCTTGTGCTACATCAACGACACTGCAGAAACAATTTCACCTACTATTAAGCTTCACCTGTTCGCAGACGATTGCCTTATATATTCGAGAATAAATCATCGTAACGACCAGCTCGCTTTAAACGCAGCACTGGATAATATAGGCAACTGGTGCAAGAAATGGAAAATGAAAGTTAACTATTGCAAAACCTCGTACATGACAGTCACAAAAAACGTAAAATATGTGTTGGCGTTTTCCTACCGATTAGACGGGCGTAGTTATAGCGAGTAACGCATTTTAAATACTTGGTTGTCATCCTATCTGAAGACTTTAGTTGGAAAACTTACATTAACCACTTGTGCAGCGTTGCAGAAAAGAAGCTGTGGTTTTTAAGAAGAAAATTGAAACTGGCATCAACCAAAGCAAAGCTTACGGCATATTTGACGCTTGTGCGGCCTACGCTAGAATATGCGAGTATTATATGGGATCCGTATAGGAGATACCAAATTGATAAGATCGAAAAAAATACAAAGGCAAGCAGCTAGGTCTATTCTGTCGAGATTTAAAAGCACTGATTAGGTTAGTGACATGCTAAGCCATCTTAAGCTACCTCGCCTTTCAGACCGACTGAGAATAGCTAGGTTGAAGCTTCTTTTTAGGCTAAAAAGCAATTGCCTAAACTTAGACACTAGTTTATACTTAAAACCAAGGAACACTCGCACCGTCAGGGATAGCCATGCGGGCCTATTTCTCGCAAATAATGCCAGGGTAGACAGTTTGAAATATTCGTTCCTACCGAAAACAATAGAAGACTGGAATGCCCTTCCACAGGCTGCAATTTCCGCAGTCACAGTTAATCAGTTTGAGTCGTCCTTGCTTCGTCATTACTCACTTCTAAGTGATCGATAGCTTCTGTAACGTTTTATTCGTGTGTTCTTGCATTTTTTTTTTTTTTCGTGCTCCTGTCTTGCGCACGCGCTGTACACGTGTATCTTTGTGCAGTTCCTGCGCATTCCATTGCAGAACATTTGCTGCGCCGCTTGTATGCGGGGATGTTGTGCGTGGCCGATGAGACCTCGGTTGTTGAACACGTGTTGCTTGTCTTTGTTGTCGCTATAGCTTCCCACTGCGTGCAAATAATATGTGTGCTCAAATTTGATCTTGGATTGTCTACGAAAATGTGTCTTTGTATCGGGCTGAGAAGTTTTGTTAGTGTTATTTTTTTGTTGTGTACCACCCTGTAACGGTCCCTCTGAAACTAACAGTATCACTAAATAAATAAATAAATAACATTCCTTCTAAAAATCAGTTTGTTTCGTCATGATTAGCGGGTAGCGGGACACTGCCAGAAACATTGTACTGAGCTACTGGCGTTCAATCCAAGCCGAGTCGTTAGCCGGGTTGACAGCGCATGGACGAAAGAGGTGCACCCATCGTTCCGTTACAGTGCTAGTACCGTTGCGTTGGGCCAGTTTAATGTTGTAATAAGGCAAAAATTATGAAAAAGCCGAAAGTCAACACTCTCTCCAACAAATTATACAAGGGAACAGTGACAGCTCTTGTCGGTGTTACTGCGCTGACTGGTGCGTATCTCGCTTATTTAACCTTCAGTTTTGTGAAGAACACCGACCTCCAAAGGAAACAGCGGGAGCTGGCCGTGCAAGACCAGCTTCTAGTTGACGGAGCGAAAGAATTGAGCAACTGAAATAGTAGTTCTGCAGGTAAGTTCCTCCAACTGCGGCACTACGTGTCGCGCGCGTAGGTATGCACATTCGAAACTGAAGAACTTGATTTCACAGTACGATGCAGTCGCTGCTTGGAGCCTTCGTCCGGGCTGCCGGGAGGCCCGTCGTGCGATCGCTGCAGACTTCGTCAATTACTCGACAGAAATGGAAGATCCTGAAACTGAACCACGTTGCAATGGCTACCCTCCAACTTGAAAAGGTCGCCAGTTTCTACCGCGACACCCTAGGACTTCAGGTGAGGTAACACGGCTGTCTAATGCGTGTTCACGTCCGATTAGTTAAAGCGCATAATTGCATTTGACGAAGTCTTATCTACTTTCCCGAGAACTCGCGCACATTTCGCAGATTAGTGATCAATTGCGAAAGACCGCCCAACGTCATAGTGTCTTCGAAATAAGCACTATTATTATACTCCTTCGGTAAGCACGAAGGTGCGGGTTCTATTCCCAGTTACGAACGCATTTCGGTAGCAAGGCCTATTGCAAGAGCGCCCGTGTATCAAGCTTCGATTTCTGTTACACATGCCTAGGTTGTTAAAAAGTGCGCTACAACGGCACGCCTCACAATTTTGTGGAATTTCCGGCACGTTAGAAACCAAAGTTCAATTTCTCTTCAACGATTGATTGATTGGGCAACTAACGACTGCGTAGGTGAGCGAGCCGGTGCCCCAGAATGAGCACGGCGTGACTACGGTGTTCGTCGACGTGGGCAACACGAAATTCGAACTGCTGCTGCCCCTGGGTGACAAGAGCCCCATCGCCAACTTCCTGGACAAGAACAAGGGAGGCGGCGCACACCACGTTTGCCTGGAAGTCGACGACATCGAGGCAGCCGTGGCCGACCTGAAACGGAAGGGTATCCGCATGCTGGCCGACAAGACGCGCATCGGAGCGCATGGAAAACCGGTCATGTTTCTGCACCCAAAGGATTGCGGGGGCGTTCTCGTCGAGCTGGAGCAGGCATAGATTCACTGCTCTTGGTCGAGTTTCATTCATTAAAGCATTTCGCCCCGTTGTAGCCCTCCAGCTACAAGTACCCAATTTCTGGTATACGCATCATCGACACAAACGAGAGAACTGAACGTTCCAGTCGTCCTAAGACGCTGCAACTCGAGTAGCTTGCTCAGCGCATTTGTTGCCATAGCTAGTTCACCTATGCAGTGCAAGATACTTCCATTGTGCACTAAGATGCTTTTTTCTTTAGTGCATTGAATTACTTTCCCTGCTGGTATAGCATGTCTGAGAATGCTGCCAGCACATATGTAGACATGAAGAAAGGAATTGTACAATAAAGTCTTTGGGAAGACGACAAGAGAAAATGCTCAGCTATGTAGTCACACAAATGGGCACTTTTTGAATGTTCTTAAGGTACTGCACAAGTATTGGAAAAATCAAATTTTGTGCATATATATGCATGTACTAAGCAATGAGCCATGGCATTTCTTACCAGATGGGTGGCATTTCAGTACACGATTTCGCAGGTAGTAGCAGAGGCAGTGTGTCATTTTGTACTACAGTATACTCGAACAGAACCCGAAGGGGCCAGGGCATAGAGTCTCATACATAATACCTAGAGTGGAATCTGGCGCTAAGCGGGCTCCTTCAGTGGCGCTTGTACCCGCATGGGAATGATGGGAAGTACAGGCTTCAAATCTGCTTCGAATGGATCACATTCTTGAGATTTGCGACGCTTCTTTCCGAGTGTAAAACAAAGTAATATGAAATTATAATAAATTGAAACTTGCTTCATTTTTTTTTGTATGCAAACTTTATTGCAAATGATATTTATGACCGGGCAGTAGAAATGAAATCTAAACAAATTTAATCACCAGGGTATGCATTGCTCTGCCATTGCGTTCCAGATTTAGCATCAAGATATCATGAAGTATTCTTCACAACATTTCAAAACAAATATTTTTGGTTTGCCCTCAAAAGTATGCAATATCTATTTATAGAATATACAACACAGTATTAAGTGAGAAACACTTAACTTTCTGTCTGCTGTGATGCCTAGTGCGTCTGTTCAAGCGGTTTGCCCCCAACGCACCTCTCGTTTTATTGTGAAATTGAGTCAGGTGAGCATGGCGGTGCATCTACTGTCGCTTTGCAGTTGGTTTCAACGAATTTTGGCAAGACGCACTAACAAAAAAGGTGAACTCGATGCAATATCCTGCATTGGCATGGAACGCTACATCTATGCGCAGTGATAAGTGGACGATGATTCGCTTAAACTGTCAAGCACAATTTATACAGCTCCAGTGTTGTGGTTAATTGAGAGGCCTAGCAGTTTTTAACTTCTTTGAACAACAAAGGCGCAGCTTCAGTCCTTTGCACCCACCCCACTACCCACTCTATGCAAAGACCGAAACTGAAACTGCAAAAAAAGATCCATAGACAGTTCACTGGCTAACGCGATCCAATTCGAAGCCTGTACTTCCCATAATTCCCATGAGGATACATGATCGCAGCGCCAGATTCCTCTCTAGGTATTATTGTATGAAACTATGGACCAGGGATATATGTTCCATTTAACAGGAGTTCCATTTACTGAGCAATGAACAAAAGTGCAGAGTAGAAGCACGAAACTTATTTTGTCAGAAGCACTTGTTCCCGTTACCAGATTTTCATTTAATGAGTCTACTGTAACGACATTCGAGACTACCAGCCTAGAGAGGCAATGCTGGATATGAAAAAATTCCTAGGCTAGAACAGGAATTTCCTTCACCACACTCCACTCTGTCTCCTTTTTCCAGGTCTTTACTGAACACTTGTTCACCTTATCTTCCAATCAAATGCACATTCACAGACACTATGCAGGAATGTGAAATGTAAGATGCTATGTAAATAGCCAAAAAAATTAAACAGTGCAGACAGAGTTTGGAAAGATTATCAGAAGCGGCATGTACATATTACTTCGATTGGCCATTCGTATGTCTAAGGTTGTGGCATTTTATATAAGTAGTAGCTTTTTTCAGACAACCTGAGGCCCATTGCAGCAGCAGTAGCATAACCACATGAATTGTGTGAAATATCCAGCTAACAGTAACACCCGCCACGGTGGTTATTGTGCTCGACTGCTGACCCGCAGGTCACAGGATCAAATCCCAGCTGCGGTAGCCACATTTTCGGTGGAGGGGAAAATACTTCAGGCCTGTGAACTTTGGTTTATGTCATGGAGGAAGAAAACATTTAGAAGGTCAACTCCGCTCTTTGATGCAACCAGATAATGTCGCATTACCGGAGAGCGAATTCATGCTGCAGGCATCTTGCAACAGAAAAGGGAATCGCTGCCGTTTTGGTTTCCGAACGCACCGGCTGTGCGTTGCTTGCGTTCCGTTGCAGTTGCGGAGGTCGTTTGGCTGCACTCGGCTGGTAGCGTTTCCGTTTCTTTTTCGTCGCTGCAGCCTGCGTTGCAAGGCGCTGCCAACTGAAATGTCTCCATCAGAGCATGGTATTTTTGTATTTTATGTGACATTATCTGAACCCCTCCGTATGCCCATTCTAACGAGAGTTTTACCTCCTAAATCTTTCCTCCTCTGTGGTTTAGGTGAATGTTAACCCTTTCGGCCCTAGTAGTGTCAATTGACACCAGCACGCATTTCCTTTAGCACCCTGGAAATGATACCAAAACAACCAATTCCTAAGGGAATACTTTTCAATGAGCCCCGCTGCAATTAATGTCAAAATCGTATCATGTTTGGGGACCTGGAGGGCCACAAAGAATCTTGACCGAAGTCTAGGATGAAGCGTTGACGCGTAAGCTGAGGAAGGCAAGGGCCATTTTCAAGACAGCATACCAAAGTTGTTTCAATGAGTATCACACTGACACACAAGACATCGGTTCACATTTTGTGTGCTCTAGTGAGTAGCAGGAATAAAAAAAAAAGCCATTTTCATCATTTGACACCCACTGAACCCTAACGACCTAATTTGATGCCATATTCATTAATCCATAAAAATTTGCACCAGTGGCCCAATTTTTAGTCGTCTGACCTACTAAGATTCACCAAAATAAAAATCGCAGTGCTGAAAGGGTTGAAGAACCCCAGGTGATCAAAATTTCGTCTTCCACTATGGCATCTCTCAAAATCGTATGGTGATTTTGGGACGTTAAACCCCCCAAGAATAATACTTGTTATAACTAACAGGAATATTAAAAGCTAACAAATAAGTCACTGTATTCATCTTAAATTACTGAAAGAATTCTGTGGCTGTCCAGAAGCTTTGGCTATCCTTTTCACAGGATCACTTGCATAATGAATACCAAAGCATCTGTAGTAATAGGACGCAGAAAGGGCAAATTGCAAGACAATGAGAAATGAGCACAATGCAACAAAGGTACAACATAAGTTGCAGGAGTATTTATTCCGCTGGGATGGCTTATTGATACAAATCCAATTTTAGACTCCGAAGCTGCTACCAGCCCATTTGGATTCACCTTACCCCAATGAAGTGACAGGTTGTTTAAAAAAAATGCTTAAAATTGCTGGCAAGGTGCTCAGAATAACTGCTAGAAGCCAACTCAGTTAAAACGTGCTTACTAGTAATCGGAAAAGGAAAAAAACGCATCACAGGTGGAAACACTCGACCTGCTCGCATCAACGCATTGCACTGTACTGCCAGAAAGAAAAAATGTATACCCGTTCAAGAACACAATGCGTTTAGGGAAGTGCTTCAGAGCAGTGAATTAAAGCAAGTTAGCGTACTATTACGAGCTGTTCCATGATTCCTTTCCCAGATTGCTAATGAAAGCTGCTTGCACATTGATATGAAGTAACAGTCACACTCAGGGTTACGAGAGTTTGTCTAAACCATTTCGAAAACGGTACAGTGGTCAACTAACCCCCGAAACCAGCTACTTAAAGCTACCCCTGTAACGGAGAGAGTGTGCCTCCCCGTCAGGACTTGCGCGAAACCACGACACCCAGTGGCACAGGCCCCTACATGAAAGCAGCGGGGCTTGTACTTCCTAGTTGCCCACATGCAATCACCACCTCTTCCATCTTCGAGTAGGGCTCCCAACTCTTGCATGCACCGTCGTTTTAAATCCATTAAGCACCAGCGCAAATGAACCAATAGCAGTGCCAGGCTAGGCAGTGTGGACATACCCTACCTAAATGCATATTGCGAGCTGTTCCATTCTCAAGTCTCATACAGGCTTCAATGGTGCCACACTTTTCAATGTTATAATTTTTTTTATATTTTATGAAATATATATAAATAACGGAGGTACCACAATGGTGTAACGAATATGATAATAGAGTGCGACAGGCAGTGCAAGGCCTTCCCACTCTAAGATGACCTAAACTGATGAGACGCCATGTTTCATTCCTAGCAATGTCATGATCAACAACACATGCCAGAGGCACACTAAACAAAAGCTGTACAAGAACAGTGTTTGTGTGTTTGTTCGTATCCAGGAACCAAGGAGGGTACAGAACAGTATCTCTTTCCTGCCACAAGAAAAATGCTTTATACTAACACTACAAAACTCCTGCCAGTATGCGAAAAAAAAAAAATCTTGTTTTTGTAGTGTAGTGGACAACATCGATAACGCCATTTCTGAAACAGCAAAGTTATCTCATCCCTAAGAATAAACATTACTCATATACACATGTATACAGATTTATACAATATATATATAACATACTGGCAACCTTAATGTCCACAAGTCATATGGTCCACATCACAAAGTGAAACAAGTTTAAAAAAAGTTTCCACAATGATCAATTTACTGATGCAACAGAAATCACTGCAAAAGGCAACAAAAAAGCTTGCACTTCTGCCTCTTCGATCATTAAATACCTGTACACAGGATGATGCATGCCAAATCAACACCATGAGGACTGATAGAAAAAAATGTTATCACCACAGCAAATGAAAACAATGACAACAAAAAAGCATGAGCAGCGGGTACCTATAATACACAATAGTTATAATACAACCACGCTACCTAACACTTGCAGAGGACAATGAGAATGACGCAAAAAAGACAGTTGCAAACAAAAACCTGTACATGGCCAAGAAGATATGAACGAGAAAAACAAAACACAAAAGCATGCTCATTTACGACTAACGGCTCCTGTTCGCTCCCTAGCAATTTCTTCTCAAGGAGTCTTAGTGTCACATCACGGAAAAAGTAAAAACTGAAAGTAGAGACCACACATGCACGAGAAATTGAGCACGACAGCACAAGGAGGGAGAGGCTGACAGTAGCCACAGCTGCCAGCCCCTGGACGGGACTCCCAGACGACAGCGACATTGCCCCGCTAGGGAGAGCCGCCACGAGAACACGACAAGCACCCCCCTACCCCTAACCCTTTGGAACAGGTACGTGTGCGACACCGCCCGAGGAGAATGCTTCTGCTCAAAAGCTTGCTGGCAGCGGCGGCCTCTGCCCTGATCGCGTCTCGGAGAACCACCCTCGTAGGTGGCTTCCAGTGTGCCATGCAACAGCGGCTCTCAACTGCCACGGGATGCGAAGGAAGAAGAGAAAACCCAACTGGCATGGGCTTTTGTACTGCGGCTTCCACTGGCGCCATCCTGGCGACAGACAGAGAAGGTGGAGCATGTCCCAACCCAGGCTGCACTTGTTGGACCACCACGGAGAAAAGAACACTTCCAGCAAACGCTCGGGCCCGGGCAAGCGGCGGAGTGTCCCGGTTCATCGCTAGGACACAGACTCCTGAGCTAGCACCGAACGTTTGGGCAGCACGGCCGCAGCGTTGGACCCCTGGGCGGGCACTTCAGGGGTCGTGGCAGGCGAGGAGGTGGCAAAGTCCGACGATGTACCCAGAAGCCAACTGCCAGTTGACGCCGAAATGGCCGCAGCATCTGCATTCACAGCAGCGGCCTGTTGCTGGGGTCCAAATGTAGGCTGTTCAAGCAGTGTAAAACCCTGGTCGGCTGAGGACAGCAGGGCTACGGTTCTCAGGGCCTCGCCACCCATTAGTGCCTGAGTGAGCGAGTTGATGTCACTCGTGCTCAGTGGCAAGTCTGGGAAGGCATCCACCAGGTCGGGCAAATCGGGAACGTCACCCTGTCCCGCACCCGCGGCTGAAAGCTTGGCCAGGGATTCGCGTGCCATGGATACGTCCTTGGAGACAGCTGCCAGGGCTCTCTCCAACTCCTCCGTTTCCTCCTTGCTCGGCACATACTCACCATTTTTCGCTTCTGCGAAAACAATGTACTTTCCTCAGAGTGCAGTTAAATGCAAACATACTAAAGCACCTAACTTAGATAAGGCAAATTACCTTCTAAGCCAAGTCCACAAATATTGTCTGGCACTTGTGTGAAACAGTACCTTCCACAAAATTAACTGCCAAATTTCGACATATGCCTTTTTTACTGCAGAGAATTATCAGCAGTGGTGATCACTGAGAAAGCTTGCAGGGGTGCAACAGCCAAAATATAAATTGGAGCAATTTTTGGAGCAGAAAAATGTTACTTTTGGAGCAATAAGATCCAAGTTTGGAGGAGGTTACAGGGGGGAAAGCATTCATTTGTTTATCTCATTAATTTTTTATCACAAAAGAACAAATTTGGAGCGTTTGAGAAAAAAGGCAGTTTTAGAAAAAACAATATGTACAAGCCATTCAACATTCCTTAAGTCATGCAGAATGAATATGAGCTCTGTTATTTCAACAAAAGTAGTATTTTATTTTATCACCCCCCTCGGCAAACAATGATAAGGTCCATATGAGAAATCGCCATGCCTGTAAAATTGTTTGGTCTGAGGATTCAAATGTAGATCTCCAAAGATGGTGACCATAATATTTGTAAAACTGAAAAAAAAAAAAAAAAAAGCTGGTACACAGTCTTGTTCATTTTTTTTTTTTTTTTTTTTTTTTTTTTTTTTTTTACGGCTGCAGAAATGTTTTACGGCTGCAGAAATGCCAAATGATTTCGAGAAAAACCTTTTTAGAAATCAGCTATTTTATTATTACTCACAAATGTGCGACATATATACGCATCAGTAATTGAACAAAGTGTGCCGTGTCTAGAAACTACTGCATAAAGCCCCCATCCAATCTGGAAACGCTTTCCTGCAGGCCACCCGTATGCGGCGAAAGTGGCTTGAGCGGTGTTTCTGCTTGGGTTAGAACAAGACCAAGATAAAGTAACAACGGCATGCGCCTGTCGGCCTGGCGACGGCACGGGATATCTATCGGCAATAGAGTTTCTATGGCAACTAACGTGGCCATGGCAAGAAACTAAAGCTGGAAGAGTACAAACTGGACGTACTGAGAGTTTGTACGCTTCCAACTTTAGTTCCTAATGGTTCCTAACATGACATGGCCGCATTTGCTGACTAGGAAATTCATATGTCCCGCTCACTAAGTGTCTTTGGCCTTTGTTTCTCGCTCAAATTAGGGCAACTGAAAAAATTTTGAGACTGGTTGGGCATTTTGGCGCAGCATGCCGCAATTTTAGAAAATTTCTTGGTTTTGGTGCTGCTCAGCGCACAAATGAGGAATTGTATCGAATTGGCGCAATTGGAGCACCTGCTGCACTTCAGAGTTTGTCTTAACAGCAGAGCACGTGTAAGGTTTTAAGGGCCAGTAAGCAACCTCACGGTCCGAAATTTCTGTTGAAAAACTGTGCACTTGTGGAATGTGAACACCCTGCCGCAAGAACTTAGCGAATAAGTGCTGTAGTAAGGAAGTTACAGGGCTTAGAATGACCTAAGTTGGCTGGTTTCAATTTTTCATTTGTCCTTCCCACCTTGTAGCCCTTTCTTGCAACTTCGCTCACTTCGTTATCGGCATTGAGCCAACAAACGAGCAGTGCTTCCCCCAGATGAGCACGCGTCATGGTGGTATGAGGAACACCCTTCCCCTCGCGGTAGTAAACAAGCGGACGCCTCTTAATCTTGGAGGCTTTCCTTCTGCCAATACCGCATCTCCTGGTAATGTCGGGCGCTACAAAACAGCAGAGGGCAGAACAGGAAAACGAAAATGCTGACCGCACAACCAAAACTGCATCGCCACAAGACCAAGGCACCGTTTCGTAGGGCAAAGGACCAATCGACAAGTTCAGAGATGCGTAATGTTGCCCAGGGGCAAGATTTTGTCACTGTGCATACAAGGAGCATTAGTTAGTCAAAGGAAAGAAGAGCGAGAACTGTTTTTTGAAATGAAGGGTCAGCACGGCGTGCAGCACAATATTCGCAAAATATGATCACTGCAGCCTCCTGTGCAAATTAGGGAGCTCATTTGGCAGATGTAAAAAAAAAAAGAAAGACACTGCTTACTAGCCCTTTACTGGTCCTCTGCTTTTTTTTTCTTCTGCTCTTTTTTTCTTTCTTTCTTAGTGTCTATGGTAAACTGAACAAGCACACCTAGGTTCGGCATATGCGAGAATTTAGCTCAACTGAGTTTGCGGTATCATGCTTTCACAAGCTTTGCGTCACATCGTGCTACATTAGAACACCTCAGCACCCAACATTTACGTATGTTTGAACAAACTACAACTCCATGAAACTTGCAGCATGCTAGCCATTCCATGTTACAGATGCATTGAAGAGACTTTTCACTAACATGTACAGAACTTGCAGGAATGGAACTAGTAACAGCACTACTATTTATTTAAACACTGTTTGATCTTATTTGCTTTCGTTTGAAGAGAACAAGACACAACCAAATAGGGCTTACCTGCAAAGAAGTCGCTGAAAGCATCGTCGGAGATTTTATTTAACACTTCCGTGAAATCATGCTCCTCAAGCAGCTTTGTCGCTTGGCTGGCCAGTTCCGCTGCATCAAGTGGCAGCTCCAAAGATTTTTCTATCGTGTCTGCAAAAGTAAAGTTTCACATGGTCATACGCAGCAGTGCAAATTTGTTAATGGCAGAGGAAAAGTTGGAACTGCACCACACTAAAACTGCTAGTAATGACTGCACCACACACTAAAACTGCCAGTAATAGGGGAAACGTGGAGGACAATGCCATTGCACATTTTTAAAGGTGACTTCAGGGGATCTATGGGATTAAGCCTGCTGCATTTACTAAGCATTTCAATGCATCATGCTCGAGCATAGAATCACACTGTATGGCGATTCCACGAGAGATCGACACGGGTTGAAAAGTTGATATTTTAGATCTCACTGTTTATTTTATATTTTGTGCAAATACCACCCAGTAGCCCAAAAGTGCACCTCATTTTTTCTAACTGCATAGTTTAGGAGAAAAAAATATTCAACTTATTTTGTACAGAAGGACCAATTTCTTCTCTTGTCATTTTGTAATGTTAACGATGATATAAAAACAAATATTAGCTTGATGAAGAAATGTGGGGGACAAAGCCATTGTACATTTTTAAGGGTAACTTTAGGGGATCTTTAGGATGAAGCCTGCTGCATTTACGAAGCATTTCAATGCACTATGCTCGAGCCTGGTATCATACTGTAGAGTGCTTCCACGAGAGATCGACACGGGTTGAAAAGTTTATATTTTAGATTTGATTGTTCATTATTTATTTTGTGCACATACCACCCAGTAGCCGAAAGCGCACCTCAATTTTTTATTAACTGCATAGTTTAGGAGAAAAAAATATTCAACTTATTTTGTACAGAGGGACCAATTTTGTCTCCTGTCATTTTTTTAATGTTAACGACGCTATACAAAAACACAATTATTAGCTTGATGAAGATGGTTTTTTCTGGAAAACGTACACGGGATGAAGAGTGAAGCAGCATTGTTTGAAGCTTGCATGCTAAAAGCAAAGCATTCCTGAAAAATGTCTGAACAGGTGACATTTTTTAAAAGTTGCTTGCATCGAAAGTTTTTTTCTCCTAAGCTGAAAAAGCTAGTGTTTCATAACTTAGTGACCTATTACAACATAATGTTTATAATATTGCCTGTCAACACCGTGGCTGTACCTCAAACACATAATTTTATGAATAGCCTGGAACTTTCAAATTTATTGACAGTAAATTCTATTAAAAATTGATATTTAAAAAAGCACCATCTTCGATTTTTCTTGAAATTTCATAAAAAGTTCCTCACAGATGATAGAAAAATAATATTAAAAAACAGTGCATTATTTTATTTGCGGCGACAATATTACGGGTTGAAGTTCCAGCTTTTTGAGCATGCACTTAGGCGATAAACGCATGAGAAATCGGGTTAAAAAAAGTGGGCTTGAGCTTCTGAGTCATTTGAACAGGACCATACTCAGAGGAGAAGCAGATTTAGCACACTGAGAAATAAATTACTGTAAAGGCGCATTTCTGGTGGGCTTCGTTCAGCTTTAATGTTGGAGGAGCAAGACATAATGACACACTCTAAGGCACTCCATACATATTTGCAGACAACATGATGCATTAAAATGCTCCAACACCAGCATAGGGCCACAGAAGGTAGTACATGAACACATGGAATGACCTCCTCCCCTATCCCCTCTTAAGCTGAGGAATGAATGCATTGAACAAAAGCGGTGATGTACTCAAAACGCTGCAATTTTTCAGATGACTTGCAGCAGTGCTTGACACTAACAAAACACTACCATGATTTGTATCGTTAGGTGACGTTGACCAAACGCACCGAAAACACAAGCCTGCAACACGTCGCAAAAATATGCACTAAAACAATCTTAAAATAATGAATCATCTCTGGGTAATCTCCATTTGCATCGAGCATTTTGACATTCTTCAGCAACATGGTCTTCTACAACATCATTTCAGATGCCAGCTTAATTCACTCCCAAGCTTGCCGCTTAGGTGGGAGGGTGAAGTGTCGTGCTTCGCTAGTCTTTACTAAATTATGTTTTATTAAAAGTACAGATTTCTTACCATTTCGTATAGTTGAAACCTTACGATATCATACAATGCCTACAAGTAGGGGCGGGGCGCGCATGAAATTGTTGAGCAGGTGACCGGGGAAGGAAATGCAAAACCGTGTTCAGGTTAAAGGGACCCACAACCAATATTTATGGTACCCGTTTTCTTGAGTGCAACGAAAAGGTTACCAGTCTGAGCTTGTAATCACAGAATGGCCACGCGGAAAATGCCATAGAACATTTGAATCAGAATTTTATTATTTGCGGCGATTATGCAGTCTTAAGGAGACATGCTGCAAACAGTAGATGTGATCGCAATAGCGATTATATGCCAGTGTAACAGCAGCAGAGATGAAAAGTGAAAAAGTACAGACACGTAATGTTATGTTTGTCAAGCCTGCAGTTCCGTGACCATTGTTTTCTCGCGTGCTAAATTATTTTACAGAAGTTACAGCACTTTCCTAGGGCTTCTTATGCAAGTACTTCTGGCCGTGCACAGGTTGTTTTTTCGACTTAAGCCAAGTCCAGCTAAGCCATATCTTTGAAAAAGAAACGGCGCGTATACACGTGTTTGACAATTCACGCATGGCACTTCACGTGCTGCTGTAGTTGGACGGCTTCTATATGTCATCTTTTGACAACTTGAGCAGGTTAAAGGAACGAATTTCGGCTCGCATGCCTGTGCAAATTTCGGACCCCTATCAAATAGCGCCAGAGCGACATGCTTCGACGGACGACAGCGGTAGCAACAAATCCGACAACCCGCCACCATCGCCACCACCAGAAGCATGCATGAGTGATAGTAATTCTCGAAAAAGCCGTAGATCGACGGCATTTTGCATGCCGCAGCGATCGCATTCACAAGCTCACAAGCTTCTTCCAATGCGCCTGACGTGACAGGAATCGAGCTACGCCGTGCAGTCGTGCGCATGCGCAACTGCACTCGTTTTCCTGCAGTCACGAAAGCAGCGCAGATTTTCATGCTCTACTTCTTTTACGTAGTAACGGGCATAGAAACAAGCAAAAATCAACTACAACATACATATTTATGCCCTTATTCTCGTTAGTTATTAGAACTTCATATTTATGGTTCATGGCTCTTGGACTAAGGGCGCGACATGCCACTTTTGGTTACTTTTGAACGTGATTTAAAAATATTAATTCTACTCATATCGCGAACAGTATGTCATCACCTGTTACCATAATTCACGCACTTTCCCTGGTTGATTGATATGTGGGGTTTAACGTCCCAAAACCACCATATGATTATGGGAGACGCTGTAGTGGAGGACTCCTGGAATTTTGACCACCTGGGGTTCTTTAACGTGCACCCAAATCTGAGCACACGAGCCTACAGCATTTCCGCCTCCATCGGAAATGCAGCCGCCGCCACCGCCGGGATTCGATCCCGCGACCTGTGGGTAAGCAGCCGAGTACCTTAGCCACTAGACCACCGCAGCGGGGCACGCACTTTTCTTTTCCACCGGAATCTAATCACCTGTTCTGGCCAGTTGGTCCCTTTAAGGAGGCGGCAGCAGCGTTACTAAATCTCAATATTTGTTATGCTTCGGTGATTCTTCCCGCGAGCCTATTCCCATTTAAGTGTTCTGAACCAAAACGTTAAAAGCAGATGACTGTAATAGCTTCCTCATGTAACCGAGGTGAGCAACTCAGGTGCCAAAAACTTGGGGGTCTCAAGCCTTGGCTTGAAACGGCAAATCGATGCATTTCAGAAGGGCGGGCTTCGAACGGTCATTCGCGTTTAAGAAATCTGCTTTCCTTCTGTAAATATGATCCTTTTCAAATAACTCAGGAGCTCAATACCACATTATTTAGTTCAATTTCTCATGCCTTTATCGCCTAGGTGCATGTTCGAAAAGCTGGAACTTCCACCCGTAATATTGTTGCTTCAAATAAAATAATGTAATATGTTCTTGAATATTGTTTTTCTATCATTTCTATCATCTGTGAGGAACGTTTAATGAGAGTTCAAGAAAAATCGAAGATGGGGTTTTTTATATATTGATTTTTCAATAGAATTTACAGTCAACGAATTTGAAAGTTTCAGGCCATTTATAAAATTATGTGTTTGAGGTACAGCCACAGTATTGACAGGCAATATTATAAACATTTTGTTGTAGTAGCTCACTAAGTTATGAAACACTAGCGTGATTAGCTTAGAAGGAAAAAATTTTCGAATCAAGCAACTTTTAAAAATGTTACCTGTCCAGACATTTTTCAGAAACACTTTACTTCAGCACACCAGCTTCAAACAATGCTGCTTCACTCTTCATTATGCGTACATTTGCTAAAGAAAAATCATCTTCATCAAGCTAATATTTGTGTTTTTATATCGTCGTCGTCAGGAGACGAAATTGGTCCCTCTGTACAAAATAAGTGGAATATTTTTTTTCTCCTAGACTATGCAGTTAATAAAAAAAATGAGGTGCACTTTCAGGCTACAGTGTTGTATGTGCACAAAATATAAAATAAACAATCAAATCTAAAATATCTACTTTTCGACCCGTGTCAATCTCTCGTAGAATTACCCTATAACAGAGCACCAGCAAAGCAGTGTGTGAAGCTTTTTTGTGTCTACCAACGCTCAATTTATCTATTCACTAGTCAACTAGACTCGACTTTTATGCTTTGAGACTCAACTGTTCCCAGTTCAGCAGGGGCAGGGGAAAGAGTGAGAAACTTCACAGGTGTATCACTGGGAGGTATGCCGGTCGCAGCTGCCTCATCATTCGAGGTGGTGTCACGCCTCGCTTTCTTCATTTATACCTGCCATGTTCAAGGATTTTGAATCTGAAAGACGTCTGCCGGGGTGGGGGGGCCGCACATTGATTTATCCCCTCGTTTTTCTTTTTGCACCAAAAGAAAAAACCGCAAAATAACAGAGGGGGTTAGGTCGCATTTATTTATCCCCCCTCCCTTTTTGCACAAAAAGAAAACTAAAAAGTTGAAAAAATGGGGGGGGGGGGGGGGGGTCGTAAGCATTAGCGTCAAGGTCTTATAATGGCTTAAAGTGGTCAGACAAACAAGGGTAGGGTTCCAAACTACAGCAGAAGGTGTGAGAAGGCGCTCAAAAGTGGGCAAAATACTCATATTTCCCAAAATTTTGCATCATCAAAACAACAAGCGAAATCAATTTTTGTCAAAAGGATTCGCATACGTCTTCCTAAAACAAACATGAACAGAGGGGAAAGCGCAGGTTGAAGTTTGGCTTAAGACCAACTGAAAACTGAATGCCAAAGTATAGCCAAAGTACACAGATCGACAGGAACAACATATGTTGCTAGATTATTTAAAGAGGAACTCCAAAATGCTTCTAGCCTTTCTTACCTCTCTATTGCCTTTAATCTACTGCTGCATTAGCCGCGTGCCCTCGGCTATTAGTCGCTAGTGACACTTGCGTCACTGCAACTGCGGTTTCTTGGATGCACTTGCAGGAAATAACGAGTTCAGTTTTCAATCCACGTGCACTGGCTGCGCACATGCTTTCAAAACTAAGTATTTTTTTGCTCTTTCTCTATTTATTTATTTATAGTGCCCTCAGGGTATAAATATATTGCAGAAGGGGTTGAGTGTACATAGTAAAAAAAAAAGCATAACAATCAGAGTAAACACTAGTCTATGATTGCATCTGCCACGGTTTTGTCCACCGCATTTGTGAAAAGCAACGTCACTTTGACTAGTCGAGAGTCAGACGCGCGTGCGCTTTCGTAGTTCAGTCAGTTGCGTTGTCACCATACATGATCCTGTTAATAAGAGCGACCGCAGTTTCATCCACAGCAAACCATAACAAACGATAACTACAGTTCTGACAGTGCGTGTGCTGGCTGCACGCATCCTTCCTAAGCTTCGAGCACGCTGACCTCAGCTTTCATTTGACGGTTTCGGTACTCAAGTTCAATATCACCTGCTACTATGCGAAAAGGTGTTCGGAACATCCAAATTTTGGCCCAATGAAGGTTGTGGAATTCAGCAGGGGGAATTTCACGAATTTGTATCTGCCGGTTTCACATGATTAGGATTCTACAGTACGTCGCCTCCTAAGTTCGTTTGGAATAAAATGCGATGAGTGCAGAAAGCCTGGATCGGATTGGGCTGCATATTTGGCAATGCGCCCAGATCACACAAAGAAATTTCAATTTCTGGGAGATTTTCCTGACAACAGTACAAACGTAAGAACTGGTTGAAATTCTCAAAACTTGGCAGGTATGTTGACCGTTAGGGGGTAGTGTAGAGACTTGCCTATGACAACAGCGATATGACTTTTTTTTTTTTTGCTTTTCGATGCACTTCTCTCTGCTTGCACACCAAGCTTCTGAATACATCAATTGGTAATCTCCTGTTTGTAGCAGGTTTAGGTAAATATCCGAAATGTGTGCAGGTTTTTATTACGAACTAATATTGGCACGATTCGGGATATCGAATTATTGATATGTCAAACTATTTTGCAATCCCCTCCAAACTCTATATATCTAGAATCGACTGCGGTACTTCCAACTTCCCTTAATGAAGATGCTGACTATGTGCACAACTTTAGTCGCAGGGAAATCTACGCATAGCAAATCAGTGAGTGTATCGAGGTAAAGGTCACAAGTGTTACTGCTTGTAGCTTCCACAACAGAGCCAGCTAATCTATAAAGCGCAAACTAATCAGAATTCATCAACTCACACCTATCCAAATAACAACAAACAAGAAAAGAATTGAATTCTTTACTGTGCAAATATATCAGATCGCAGCACCCATCAAGTCCAATACCAACCTGGTGAGAACTGATTCTCAAGATCCGTAGCCAGATCAGGCTCTATTCTCTCCACAAGTTCCTTTGCCACCGTTTCAGAGTTGATTCCACTGGCAGCTGCCAGCACAGGCACATAGCCATAACTCTCAACCATTGAGGAGGCACCCAAAGCTCCCACAACTGTGGCAGCTGGAATGAGCAATAAAAGAGACATGCCATTCTCAGCTCGCAGTTGCTTACATATGCATTATATATACATGCGTTTCCAATACAGACACAGATTCATAAGAGGGAAAACTGGAAACGTTAATAAAGCCAAATGATAATAACCCTTACTGCTGTTCAACGAGCAAGAATTTAATGCATGCCATACAGAAATTTGGTCTTTCGACATGAAAGGTCATCACCCCATATTTATGTTCACTGCAAGACAATCAATTACTGCTGTTCAACGAGCAAGAATTTAATGCATGCCATACAGAAATTTGGTCTTTCGACATGAAAGGTCATCACCCCATATTTATGTTCACTGCAAGACAATCAATCTCCAACGCCATTTCGCGTAAACTGATTTCATTTACATGCCTCCAAAATGTAAATGTTGCTCCACTAAACTTTCAATGATACCCAGCTGCACGTCCCATCTCTCGGTACCCATTCTGCCGCGCTCCAACTGGGAAGCCGTCATGTAGGCTCCCCAACTCCAACTTATCACGGGTTATCCATGCCACCCCACTGTTCTTTGGTACACTCTACTGCCTTTTCATCTTTTAATGTTAAACCTATCTAAGTTTTCATTCAAGAGAACACAGTTTTTAAAGGGGCCCTGAGACACAAATTAAGTGTGTCATTTTCATGGCTTCTTTTGAGGCTATTTAATGCACTGATGTCATAGCGCAAGTTTAACATGAAAAATAACGCAGTCATAATTATACTTCAAGTGAAAAACCACAGTGCTTTCGGACTGGAACAACACACAGCGATTATTTTTGTGATCAGAAGTGACGCTTCATCGCGACATTGGCCGCGCGTTTTGATTGGATTCAATGCAACAAGTCTGAAAAAATATATATATGATCCCTGATACAAGGGTGGAACAGCGTCCATGTGTTTGGGAGCAGTCCTGGAAGCAGGCAAATGTGCCTTTTGCAGCTGGCTTAGAGCAGCCAGAAGGGCCTTTTTCAGCAGGTCTGAAGCAGCCAGAGAGATGATTCAGAGGAGATGCAGCTGCATTATGCAGCATTTGTGAAGCAACAATTGTCCAATGCTGCATTTGTCAAACACCAAGCTAAATTGTACAATAGTTTTAGTTTTGTGATAGGAATTATATAAACACTATAGAGTTTTTGCCGTCACCATCACGTGTCGTGTAAAGCTTCCACTGTATCATACACATGGACTCAAGCGCCTTTTGAAACTTTATACCCACTGACTGGAGTGCGTTAAACTTGTGAAAAATGTATGACTGAATATTTCCTGTCTCTTGGGGACAGGAAGTTCGAAGGATGTCGTGTTTGAGGTTGTCAAAGTTGTAACTTGTTACACTAAAGAGTTCTTGAATAGGGGCCCCATAAGTTTAGGGCCCCAAAGCCCATTGCGTGCACTCGCTTTGAGTCAAGCAGGAGCTAAGCATTTTCGAATAAACTCAAACCTCAATATCACGAACACCGATACAGAAGTAAATACATAATGAATTTAATATTATAATGCATTATAATATATACAGTGCCGGAAATAACCTTTATAACCAAATTTCTGATATAACGAACATATTTTCTAGTAAGAAAGAACTTTGTTATAATGAGGTTTGAGTGTAGAGTCTGCGTGCTTTGGACACTCCCCCTATTCAAGGTTACTCGAGTATTGGCAAAGAGCTGTCACTTCAGCGGGCACCATCCCCTTTGTCTGACGCAAAGCTCTTGGGGCAAGCTTTGGGGCTTCCCCTAAAGTCGAAAAATAGCATACCCAACACAAAAGGCAAAACCAATGAGGGTCTCCTATTCGAACACTCCCTATTGAAATGCTGTGCCATGCTTTCAGTAATTTCTTTGCTGTGTCCGCACGATGCCCATTTAATCTAATATTAACAGGCTGTCTTCTTTCACCAATACACTGCTTGTGACAGCATGAAAATTTGATATTGTAGACAACATTTCAGCCAGTGCAAGTAAACACAGTAACATGACGTACGTTATCATTTTCGATACTTTCAACTCCGATCCCCAAGAGACAAAATATGTACAGTCATACCCATAGGTCAGTGAAACTTGCGAAGCTTGCTCACACTCACTCATAAAATATATTTTGCGATTGCAGCTCAATCAGACTCAGGCTCGCCAAAATTTTCCCGAATGACGGACTCGAAGTCGCATATGACATTACTCGCCCCGACTCAAACTCGCGGCTCAATCCGAGTGAGCAAACTCACGCTATTAGTACAGAATCAGCCTTTTTTTCAACTTCCGTGTAAATGCTCTTTTACACAATATCTCACGAAGTCGGAACTCTTCTTGATGCCTCATGATATAGTACCTTCAAATGTGAGTTATGAGTGCTCGAAAAACAAGTGAGGACATTTTTCCTGAAAGAGATGACAACATAAGATATATTTTTCAAGAACTTCTTTGAAAGAATTGACGGGAGGGTGCGAGGTCAATGCAACCACCTATGTAATTCCCGCTTCTGATCTATAAATCTTGAAATAGTTCTTGAACGGTAATACTTTGGAATACGTGCGAGTAGATGTGAATCCAGGTAAGGCTGATACTAATGCTGAAAAGCAGTGGATAGGACCACAGGTTGGAAAAAAACAATGGACCTCACTCAGACTCACTCAAGAAATATATCTTGCCCTTCGGACTCGCTCAGACTCACACTTGCAAAAATTTTATTCAGCCATTTCTTCTAGTGAATACTAGGGAAATCAGTTGCAGCCTTGAAACAGACAAATCCCTTCGCCTAAACGTCCGCTCCAGCACCCATCTCGTTAACAAATTTTTCAGCACAAGCTTCCACCTTCCCTTTCTCGCCTCCCTTTCAAACTTGGCTAAGTAATCACTAGTAGTTTTTTGGCGACATGAAAAACAGTGTCCAAAAAGTAACTGTACTAAAGGACAGGCATAACATTTAAAGAACATTGCTCAACTTTGAGCACTTCTGTCAATGATACATTCATTTCTGTAAATTCCTACGAAGAAATGATGTTCCAAGCGTTACAGGAATAGGCCATGCGGCTACATTGCCAACACAAAGAACTATCATAGTGCCACAGAACAGTCACAATGCCATGGTACTGGCATGTGGGTAACCTTATGGTACAGAGCAACAATGGTTCACTTGGCACTCACCAGGCTGCTCCAAAGCTATGGTTGAGGAATGCGGTACTGTCACCATGGCTTGTGCCACCATGTGTGTGGGATTCGCTACAGCTGGGCGCACAACTGCCGGTGCACCAGCTGCCAGGTGCGCAGTAGCTGACGGGTGTGTCACCACAGGCAGCATGCCTGCTGTCGAAGTGCTCACCAACTGGCTTGCTGTGGTAGTGGTGGCAACGGGCAGCGGTGGGTGGTGAACAGTGATTGCTCGGCTTGTCGTTGCCATAACGTGAGGCGCTGCTGCCGCCGCCGCTGCCATTGAAACGTGGGATGTTGTCGCTGTTGACCTTGGCATGGGGTGGCTTGTCAAGACTGGCATCGTGTGTGTCGTGGAAGAAGAGGGCAGCGAGTGGTGCAGCATGACGGGAGACATCGGCTCTGTCTTGATGCGCACAGCAGGGCACCCAGTTGTTACCATCTGCAGCAGGGGTTGCTGGGAACTTGCACCTATGTGTGGTGCCGTCATTGCAGACGCTTGGGCAGACAGTCCCTGTGGGGTCATTAAACTGGCTAACAGAGCTGGTGACGAGTCACTGCCACCAAGGAATGGGGGTGAGCGTGAGGAGCATGGAGAGGAGGAAGACGAGGAGGAGGCGGGTGACTGGATGAGCACCTCGAGTGGCACACACGATGAAAATGATGATGATGGAGAGTGTGCCATCGGAGGTGGTGATGTCATGCCTGGAGCTACACTTTTCTTTTTCTTGCCCCGTTTGGGAGGTCGTGTCAGCGCAGGAGGTTTAGATTTCTTGCGGGGCTTTTTCGGTTTGGGCTCAGCCGCCATTTTGTCGTAGTTGTCCTGAAAAACGTGATATGACAGGCAAACCAAACCGCACTGAGAAATGTACAACCAAAAAATTAATGGTACATTTAAACATGCACTAAGCATTTATTCTAAAGACTCCATCCCGAAAAGCGGCTGTGGGTGAGAATAAAGGGGTCATGCAATAGTAATGTATTTAGTTCAATAGCAAAAGTTCATTTCACAGTTTTTTATATTTACACGGCCCCCTAACCACATCCATACCTGGCAACCTAGCAGAATAAAAACTCTTGAGACAGCAGCAGCAGGGGGAGGGGACATAAAGGAAATTGAAAATAAGACGACATTTGCGACCCACTGCCGTTGCTTTCATCCAGTGCGATTACGAAAGCACGGTGTGTCAGTGTCGTGTGTTCGGCATCTGCAGCCATTTCCCCAGCAATGAAATGACAGGTCGTTTAGTACGTCCGCATTCATACCGCTTCGCGGCCTCACACTTCCAGACCATTTTACGAAGCGACACTCCTGCGTGGTTACTAACGCTCAGCGGCATGTTGTCTTCAACAATAAATCTTGTGAACAGTCACTCTGCACGGATCTCACTGCCTTGACAACTCTTTTGGGAAAAAAAAACTCCCAATGTTGCCCTGCTCTTCCACAACATGAACGTAGTTCCGACGCTTCTGTGAAGCGATGTGCAGTTTAAGACGACCTTGCTGCCGTACGAAATGCTTACATCACAGGCGCAAGTGATACGTAATTCATACTTGTCCCCTTTCCGCGAAGTCACAAAGCATGGAAACTCAGATGGGTATGAGTTTCCATGCTTTGTGATAAAACGGTGTCAAAAGCAAGTACTCTTTTGCTTTTGACACCGCCACTGACCTTCCAACTGTACTCAGGGAAATATGCGACCCCCACAACCACATGACACAACTGACGCCTAAGGCAGCGGCGTATTTATAGGGCTAGCGTACAAAATTTGGGGGCCAAGACAGGTAGGTGCAAAAGTCGTGATACCTTTCCTTCGCCTTCTTATGGTACGATGGCAAGCACATTTCATGGCCCCCGGCCTTCACCCAGACGCACGATACATATTTAGCAGTATGGTTGCACAGAATTGAAAATGAAGTATCGAGTGCTTTTCCGCAGCACCGCACCTGTCGCAGCAGGCGTGATTACAAGCGTGATTAAAAAAAGGCCTCTGCTTTGGCGGCCACTCTTTGGGGGATTTGAGATTACATTCGAGCAATCGGGAGGTTAAGTCCAAATTCGAGAGTCTCCCGGACAATTTGGAAGTGTTGGCAGATGTGCACCTCCAATTATATTTGAACATTTCACGTAAATGTGAACATCATGTTCAGAATGCAATCACGATCAACAAAGCCAAACACGGCAGCACTACGAGCTGCGGGCACCCCACAAATTCGAGGAAACAATAATTTCTCCTCTATGGTCCTTTCAGAAGTGCTTGTCCCCTAAAGTGTTCACCGTGACGTCAACATGTCATCTACAAACATATTTGTCCACTCACAGGCACTTGTACATGCCCCTTTTCCTCTTTGCACGGCAAGGAGAAGCACTCGACCAGGTGGGAAGACGAAGGAAAGGGCGAAACGAACGAGGGTCTCAATAGCATGAGAATTGGTGCGCAACTCCTCTACTATGGCACTGTTTCAAAAAATTCTCACAACTACCGTAATTACTCGAATCTAACGCGCACCCTTTTTCCGGTTAAGCGAGTTCATAAATCGCATGCGCGTTAGAATTGAGTACGAAAAAAAAAACGGATACGGTCATTCTATTGCCAGCAGCATTTCCAAAATGGCCGCCCCCTACGTGCGTCGGCACGGCGCATCGGCCATTTCTGCCTATGTGTTTTCCATGTGCGGCACTTCGTACGTGTGCTGAGGAGTTCGTCATCTTGTAGTGAATTAGCGTCGACAGCATGGAAGGGCCGACTCCAAAAACTCGAGTGCACCACGATGCCGCTTTTGAAAAAAAAACTCATCGCGTGTGCAGAAACAGACAGAAATCGGGCCGCATCGCGGTTGTTCGGAGATCCCGAAACATGCGTGCGGGACTGGCAGAAACAAAAGCAGAAGATTGTCGACAGCAACGCTTCACGCAAAGGCTTCAGTGGACTACGGCAGGGTCGGTTTCCGCAAACTGAAGAGCTGCTCGGCGAGTATGTGCTTGACCGCGAGAGGCGATGCGGCCCGTGATGACAGAACTGCTCCAAGTGCGGGCTACGCAATTAGCCTTAGAAAAAGGTCTAATGCAGAGCCAGTTTAAAGCGAACAGGTGCTGGCTAACTAACTTTATGAAGAGGAAAGGCTTTTCCCTTCGAAGGCGAACGGGCATATGTGAAAAGTTTTGCGGAGGAGTACGATGAAAAGCTTGTTTTCAGACGTTCGTCCTAAACTTGCGGCACAACGGCTACCTGCTTGGGCAAATCGGGAATGCCGATCAAACGCCTCTTTACTTCGACATGCCTGGCACCACAACCGTCGAGAAGAAAGGGGCGAAGCAAGTTCGCGTGGTGACATCGGTCCCCGGTAAAACTACAGTGACGGCAATGCTTTGTTACACGTCAGATGGGCACAAGCTTCCCCCGTACCTCATATTTAAATGGAAGACGCTCCCCAAAGGAGTCGTTTTTTCGAGTGGTGTGATCGTGCGGGCCAGCGAGAAAAATGGGTGAACGTTGCAATCGATGTCTTACTTTTTTTTTTCGTCGTGGAAATCGGGTGCGCGTTACAATCGAGGGCGCGGTAGAATCGAGTAAATACAGTACGTGTTCATTTTAGACTCATGCACAAAGGCAACACCCCTACTAAGCTTTGACATCTGCGTGGTTATAGCGGGATTCACACGAGGGAGAAATACATGGGGGATAAAGGCGGAGCCTAGTGACGTCAACAACCGAGGGTAAGTCCTCCCAAATGTTCCTAACTCACACGGACGAGGCGAACGATGCGGGAGATCATTGTGGCCAGAGCATCCACCATATAATAAAGCGGTAGCACTGAAGAATTCTTTGACGCCCAGCCATAAATATTGGCAAGCTTTCGTCTCGGAGGGGGGTTCAAAGTCGCGTTGTGTCTTGATTGGAGAAGGAGGAAAACACTGGTGTTTCTTGGGTGACAAAAGTGCTCGTGTGGTTAGTGGGAAGTGCCCGTTTCGCAGCCCCCCCTGCAGCTTTGCTGCTTTTAGAAGCTTTCTTGTTTATATGTCTCTTTTTTATGCAGAATGCAGACACGACGTTTCTCTTTCGTTTGACTCGCCACCACAAGCTTTTTCTTTTTGGAAAAACGAACTCGCCCAAAGCGACATTCCGGACAACATCATTGACAACGGCTTTTTTTTTTTCCCGGCTACGAAATTGTTCACAGCCTCTCCGACTCGTCAAGTACTACTATTGAAGAGGTAGATAGGAATTTCAGTATCTTTCGATATCGGTTGGCCTTCTGTGAACGAAGGAATTACGCTATAACAGCATTTCTCTCATGAGAACAACCGAGAAAGGAAGGGATCTAGCCTATTAGTATTTGACAATTATCTGTACAAGGGTTTTATTAGAATTTCGAAACACAAGTTAATAAAAGACCACTTCTGTCCTCAATATGTGAACTCAGTCTAAGATTCTGCTGTACCACTGCAGCCGATTAAGTAAAATGTGAAGTATGTCACGTTTCTGAATATAAAACGCAGCTCTTAAATTCTACGGCTGCCTATATTTTAGGCCTCCAATGTTGGGTAATGAGGCCTGTTTAAAAAGTTTCATTATAATTCACATAAAAAAATGGCAGTGGCTTAGCTCAGCTATGCCAGGATATACGTAGCGTTAGCAAAGGTTCAGCTGATTTTTCTTAGCTTTCCAGACATCATGCTTACAGCTGTTCCAATGACACACACACGGTATACGTATTATGCGGCACATGTATATTTATTTTGCCGGGCAACTACAAGGGATCCGATGAGTTAAGCTTCTCCGCTCTAGTGCATCGTTGAGCAGCATTTGCACTCTCCTTCTCCATGGCTATACCACAGTGGCAAACGCCAGTTAGAGGCACTATCAAGCGGCTCTAGCGCAGCGTCAAATGGCGACTGCACAGGGAAGGCGCGCGCGTCGGCGTCCATATGTCTACCAAGGCTATGACGGCACTCCACTGGAAAGCGCAAACCGGCGGCGGCGAGTCGCGCGCAGCCGCGGCCGAGTGCGAGGGAGGTGCCGGCTCTGGTGCGTGACACCATTGATTGTCTGCGCAGCGCATCGAATTGCGCGCACACCGGCGGCGAGGCGCGCGCGGCGGAGTATCATTGCGCATGCGCAGATCAGTGCCACGCGAAATTGGCTCAGCGAGGCTACTGTAGCTAACGCTACAAAACAGCGCCAATAACGAGGGACAAGAAAAGAAGAGACAGACAGTGGCACTGACTTACAATACAGCTCAAGTATATATTGTGCGGTTCTAGCAAATAAATCTTGTAAGTCAGTGCCACTGTCTGCCTCCTTTTTTTGTCCCTCGTTATTGGCGCTGTTTTTTTGTGAATCATGTCGTACCAACTCGCCCAAGCAACCATGTTAGCTACTTCAATTATAAAGGCTGAACAAGCAGAGCAGTAACAACTACAAAAGCGGGCGATGTCACAATTCTGATAGAATAACCACTTTAAAAGAAAACTGAATACCACTTCATAGAGATGGTAGGGCTCCATTATCTGCTTGACTATCATCTCTCACACACCATCCTTTAGGTTAGTTTTACTATAGTCATCGAAAGAGATGTCCCACAAGCGATGATATTATTCTACGAGATAAAAGAAAAAAAAGTTGCTTCATCAGTCATTTCCACCATCACGGTGCACGCAAGTCCGGAGTGCGATTTGGAACAACAGCCGCCACCCCCGCCAGGTTTCCAGGCACTGCAAAAGAGAGGGCTACAATGTGGCCAGAAACCCACCCGAAATTCTGCTGCTTCCCCCCCTGCACAGGGATCGTTTGACCGCTCGAAACCATTTCCGCCTCTCCCAAGGAACCGTGAGGAGGTCGCGTCGACAAACTTAACTCGTGACGTCGTTGTCACGTGTGAATTCCGCTCCCTCGTGTGAATCCCGCTTTAGGGGCTGTTTAAGTCAAACCAGTGGGGACGCACGTGCACCCACAGCGTTCCTTTTCCTTTTACCGCAGCCTAGTTGCGAAGACACATCTGCTTCTTCGAGAGCCAATGAAGCCTCTTGCGAAGAGACTGGGCACTCCGCGGCCAGCCATGCTGTTCCCCTTTTCCAGCTCACAGAACTGGTTACCCTCCCTCAACAAAGGAACCAACCCTCCTCAGGGAAGGGGAAATCGAGACGGTGGGGAAAGTGAGCGTGCCGACAGCGAGACGCTCTCTCTCGCGCCGGCCACCAAATGAAGGAAAACCCCTAGACACCCCAGCGAGCCAAGAAGATAGACAACTAAAGGCGTAAGCGCCTACCCTAAGTTATCTTCCTAGAGCAGACAATCCCTCTACTTGACATTTACGCTTTATTGCTAACGTAGCAACAAAGTGCTGTTTTGTTGACCTAGCCTGTTGCCTTATTCGCCCCAACCCGTGTAGCTGCGATGACTCGAGCTACGGAAAGGGGACGTTAATTACGCACGATGCAACTGTGTGTGGCTGAAACAAAAGCTAGGCTTCTGCGTCAGCCGTACATAGGGCGGACCCCCTTCAAACTTTGCATTTAGATTGCTAAAATTGCTCATTTTAAAGCAATGTTAAAAAACCTGCGGTCTTAACTATAATGCTACAACGTGAATGTTAAAAGGATCACAGTCCAAATATTGAACTCGAGATATTAGTGTTGTTTCATTCCTCAGCATGCAACTCTGACTTCAGCACTGCCCATATTTTTACACGGAAAGTGGGCACAAGTGCCTATACGAGTTTGGCATCATCTGGCGACATTGTCATCAAGAAAACATGTTTAGTGTGTGCTCAGGCTACCCTAGTCGTTTTGTCCATTCCACGAGTGTTGTTCACGTCACAGACACAAGCTTGCAATGTGGACACATTACCTAAATCTAGCAACCATGGGAGTTATCGCCTCTGACTTCCCTCTTTCTGCTGTCTGGCTACTTACAACCGTATATTTCAAGTAGCTTAGGCTGGAATTTTCCTTTCTTAACACGAAAGTGTTTTACGCCAGGGTCCACCTTTAGTACATATTTCTGTTATGAAAACGATGTCGAAAAAATATGCACGATCAGAAGACAAAGAAAGAAGTTCCATCCTTGGGAGTCAAACCCATAACCATTGTCCTCTCACAGTGTTTTGGGTAAAGAGCAGTAATGCATCATAACCGTGGCATCAGTGATTAGTTCTTGCAGTGCAGCATTTCTAAGTGTTCATCCGTCCGTCTGTCTGCTAGTCTATCTGTCCGTGCATCCATCTGGTGAACACTCCAAGTACCGCCATTTCCCATCTCGCATCCCCTGTGGCACATGTGCCACCGGTGGCTACATACTACTACATACATTGGAGGATGTACAGACCCACGCCATAAGGAGCTTTTCCCCTGACATTTGCATGCTCAGGTATATAATCCCAACAGTCTAAACATGAAAAGTAAGCCCCTCAGGCCTTGAAGGGAAAAAGACTTTGCTAATAAATGAATGCTTGAAACGAAGCAGACACATGGTAAACTGTGATGCTTCTCAACTGGTAGGGACCTTTGTGCTGAAGGCACAAATAGCAAAGAAGCAGTTGGCAATTCACAATTTTTTCAAAAAGTCTGATCAGCAGTAAATGGCCGATCGACTAGTGGACCTTACACTTCTACTTTCTATTCATTGCGAACAGTCAAGATATAAAAGCACATTAAATTTTTTTACATCCATGCCTAATCATAGCATGTAGTATCACTTCAACCGCAGTCATACATATTAGAGCTTCTGATAAATCCAACTTCTTGATAATTGAAACAAAATTCAGAGGTCCCTTGGAGTTTGAATTAACGAGGGTCGACTGTATAGCCAACCAAAGTCACAACTTTTTTGTTGTTGTTGACATTTAGACTGACAACGCTTTTGCTGTTACATTATTGTAATGTTCTGTGGCTGCAACCATTCCCCATTCACACTCCATTTATATGCGACATTACGGTGACACAGAGCATTTGGTATGACACCTGCTTCAAGAAACAAAATGAAAAATTATGCCTCAAATCAGCGGCTCATTACCAACGAGTCAACAATTGATGGATGGCAGGGCCAGTGGGCGACCTAGTATTACCTTGTTAGTATATGTTATAGATTGGTTGCGGTCTTTGAAAATGCTCATGTCAAGCAAGTTGTACAGCGCTCATGAAGACTTCATTTCAAAGCAATCATTTCTGGACGTAGTTTAACTTTTCGAAGAGACAGCCAGTCTTCGTAAGAAAAGCCTCAATGTATACAGCCGACAACCATCGTAAAGGTAGGGGGCTCGCCGCAGCGGCAATAACACTGTTGCAGTGTCCAGTGCCAAAAAGCCTACTCCTCAAGTAAATGACCAAGAAAACAGCCCAAGGAAAGCAAGCACCCTGTTGGAAAATACTGACCAATAACAGCGTTTTTGTATTGAAATTTCGTGAATAGGCAAAGTTTCCTTTTACACTCATCCCCCATGTTTTTGTAGCAACTTTACTTTTGTTTAATTTTAAATTACTTTTACTCTTTTCTATGATTTAAAAAATAAAAACAAATAAAATATTTTTAAGATGAAAGTAAAGTACCTATATGCTTCAGTAATCATCGGCTATGAGCAACACAACGAAGATTGTCCCTTGTTGGAGCATAACATCCCTGACTGAAATCAAAGCACTCGTGGATTCAAAGCATGAACTTACTCTTTTTTTGGCATGTTCCGGGCAGAGAGGCAGCTCGTGGCACATGTCAAACACTGGCACACAGCACTGTGTGTTGTCTGCGAATTTCGCAGTACAGTGCTCAAACAGGAGCTGGTCCACATTGTACATTATGTCTGGTAATAATGATAGTCAAGGAGGTTGCAGTGTCAACATTTGAGACAAAAGAAACTTGCATGCTAGTAAAGAGCACATTAAGGGGGCACACTGGTCTTAGAAACTTTTTTTTTGCTTTCCAACCAATTTTAATGAAACTCCATGGGCTTGTTCAGTTTCTTTAGCTGATTTCAAATATCCAATTAGTTTTGATGTAAGCTAATTAGTTCCCGAGATAATTAAAAATCTTTCCTGATTGTTCTTGAGAACAATAGAAAAAAACTAGTCAACAAAAAATTACCAGCATGGCATGAATAGATACTAGAAGTTGTGGAGAATGAAATGACGGAAGCAGTTTTTTTGTCTGGCAATCACACATGCAAGTTTACATCAATTCTAATTTCTCGGTTTAAAGTATGCCTGCTAACCAGTTATAAACAATGCTAATTAAACAATTATTTAAACGTGAAATGCAAAATCTGTTTCCCTTACTTCAAGGTTTAAACATTCAGCTTGACAATGCAAAACAAATTATCTTTCTCGCTGCACCGCATGCCGAGATGTACCTCTCAAGAATTTCCTAAACGTCAAAAATATGCATTTGAGAAAATGGCAAAAAACACAACGGTGCCATGTTTAATGTAAACGGTAAAACATTCTGTACATTTTGGAGCGAAATGACTAGTAGGCCCCAGAAGCATAGTCCCCTTGACTACTGGCATCCAGGTGCCGCTTCTTGAGCGTCCGCTGCACATTTTCTGCAGACGCACGCCTGAGGGTAGAGTCCCTGGTTCGGCGGCGGTCTTTTTCAGCCATGCGTTTGCTACTCAGTAGGCCGGGGTTCAAGCACAGCTCTTTGAGGATCTTGGATGATGTTACTTGACTTCTGGCATTAAACCTCATCACTGCCTCGGCGACCGCAGCTTCTACACTGTGCAGTGATGCATGGCGCTCCTTCGGGGCCAGCGACCAAATCACAGAGTGGAGACTTTCATTACTGTTCCGAGTCTTGCCTCGCTGGCAGCGCTCCAGCAGCTTCTTGTCCGCCAAGCGTTCGTACACTGGAAGCAAGGCCTCACAGACATGCGGCGGCAGGTTGTAGCGGTGTTTGGGGGCCGGCTCACCCCTGGCCTTGGCAGCGTTCTGGCGGCACCACGAGTCAGGACCTGTAGGGCACAGGCTTGTGGTTGGACACGGCATCGTTGGACGTCACATGGTGGTATGTGGCCATCACAGCATTGTGCATGGCTGGCACGTCCCCTTTGTGAGATTTGATGGCCCAGCCATAGTAAGAGGTCAATTTGTTAACCAGGTCACCAGTCAGCCGCCCCCTACCACTGAGGCTCTCAGAGCCAGCTGGCCTCTGCTTGGGGAGATTGCACAGTTGCGTGCCCATCCTCTTCTGGACGTGGTTCACACATTCCTCTCTGGTTACCTTTATAAAACCATACACATCTGCTTCCTTCAAAGCAGGGTAGGTGCGGCAGTCGCCATCAGAAAGAACTGTAGTGTATCTCAGCTTATGACGCTCCCACGACCTCTGAAACAGAATGAGGGCAGCTTTCACTTCCATCTCTCCAGCTTTTTTTGTGCTGTTTTTCTGGCAGTGATGGTTCGCTTTCCACTCGTCGTAGGACGGGTCACTTTCTTTAGGCGCCCGCTCGCAGCCGGCACAAAATTGCAGAGCACGACATAATCGAGCACAAGCCCCGTAAACAACTCGATAACTGTGCCGACTCCGATGTGCGACGAGTGTCCCCTCGTCATCCAGGAACCGTCGTACGACACAGCGATGTTGCCCGGGTTGCCGAGGTCCAGTTCCGCGTACAGTTCCCGAACCGATCGCGCGCACTCCGCGGTCAGCTTTTCCGACGCACGAACAGCTGCGGGCGTCAGTTTCGTCTTCACGTAGCTCTGCCACGTTTTGTTGTGCAGGCCGCGCGAAGAAATGTTCATCGATGAAAAAACGTCGTTGAATGCCGTTTGCTGATTGCCAGTAGACTGCATAGCGCGCGCGCCCAAAACATTGATAGCAAACGGCTTTGCCTTGCTCTCGCCGTCAACGCGCGGCGAGCTCCATGCCACCGACACATCGCCGCAGGTCGCGCACGTAAGCACTAGCTTTACGGCAAGGCCGTACTCCCTGTCCTCTTTGCCGATGTTTACATCACCGGAGCACAATTTGCACTTCACTGCACGCATCAGTTCGTTCACCTGGTCCAAACTCACGATCAAAAACCGTGTTTCGTCCAGCGGCGTAGCTGCGGCATCGTCGATATGGGCTAACAGGCCGCACTTGCGTTGTGTTGCTCCAGTTGAAGCGAGCTCTTGCAGCTTGTTTTCGGCGTTGCGACGCACCTCTGCCACTTCTAACGGGTGCAGCACCGCTGTGTCAAGACGAACGCGGCCGCTGCCGGATGCGTTATCTTGAGCGGGCGGCGGCGGAGGTGCTAGGCCTATGTTATCAGGGGCCTCGCCGCTGGCCACGGAAGGTGGGTCGCTTGCTCGTTCAGCGCACCTCGCTGACGCGGAACGGCCTTTCAAGTTCTCGAGGAGCGACTCCTTTCTTTTTTTGCCGTACTGATTCCTTGTGTGGAATTTCCTTCCGGCTTTCCACATCGCGCGCGATCCTTGGCTAATCCGTCGTTCTCAGTCCAAGCAATATGGCGCCTGACTGCGCAGCCGACGGCGCGAAGCAGACGACACACGCCGCTTGCGGCCAATCGCGTTGCGCTGTTTAGTCACGTGCGCTCGCCGGCGAATAGGAACGCGTATTTTTGCATTTTTTGGCGCGTGTTTTCTACTCTACCAATGAGCGGACAGGAGCCAGAGTGGCGGAAAATTGAAGACCGAAGACCGCGCTTTCAAATGAGACCTAGATCACTGCGATACTGCCCGTGGCGCAGCTGCGGGGAATTATTGAAAAATTGCCATTTTGACATCAGAATCTCGCCAAATCGGGCCCGTACGGCTTTTATAAGTAGCTGTTACTGTTCAAGTACCAACTTTTCGGAGGAAAAACTGAGCAAACTAATAGAAAAATACCTGTAGATTACTAAAAATGACATCTAAAAAAATGCGTTTTTGGGCAATTTTTCGGCCCCAAAGACCCGTGTGCCCCCTTAATGTAATTGAGAATCTGCTCATCATCAGTATAACAGGGTTATGACCATTTGATAATTCATTATGAATCATACAAGGCCCACAACACCAGGAAACTCTTCCTAAAGTTTGTGTCTGAGATGCAATGCTGTAATACAAGGCTGAGCAATGCTCACCTTTATATCGCCCATACCTTATCACTACTGTATGCGCTCCATATAACATATCCTTATGTATTCATGTATTGGATAGGCCATGTACAGTTTACGACCAATAATGCGGACTGCACGAGGAACATACATAGGTCTGAATTATCGAATGACCGAAACAACTAATGCGCCAGGAAAGAAAAAAACCTGTTATTGACACTTCGGTGACCCAGTGACCGGAAAAAGCTGTCAATGCGTTACTGCACACACTTCTGCTAACGTGCGACCAAGTCCTTCTGCATTTTCACCAGTGTGGTATGCTCGCTGTAGGACCACAAGTAATACGACGTAAGAATTGCAAGGGCTTGAGACAGGTACCCACGTCACAGCTCCAGAGCACACGGAGCGTCGCCATCATCAGTCAGAATCACTGTTAGGCGGTTGCAGAAACTGCTCAATTATGTTGTCGTCGTTCGATTTGGCAAACGAGGACACAGCACTGTCGACGTTTGAGAAGTCTTCAAACATAACTGCATCAGGAATCGGCACACCGCAGCTTCACAGGCCATCAATAACGTCCGCGCTTGAGCTTGTTACGCTCGGCAGCAGGATCGGCTCTTAAGCTGCAGTGTCGGGTTCTTGATTGCAAGCTTTCTCGCTCTCATTATCATTGTTTACTTGACACATATATATGCATTCTGAGCCAATTCTGCCCAGATAAAGTTGCATTGCAGTTGGCATTTATGGGAATGAGAATTTACATCCCTGCCGCACAAAAATGAAGCAGCTGCCAGTCCAAAATTGCTTGCACGTGACGTCGCGGATGCAGCTTCTGAAAGGAACTGAGAATCCACGATGGCAGCTTTGATGAGAAACAAGTTACGTCTGTGTGAAAACAGCATGGCAGGCACATCTCTCCGCCCGTGCGGGATGTTTTGATAAGAATATTGTGACATTGTAAACGTAGCGTCCTCATATGATGGTGCTCATATGATGGTCCTCATATGATGGTGCATATGACGTTTTCAGACGTCAGTGCAATTCGTTTGATGACTTACGATATATAAGCAAGTTATGGTGCAACAGAAAGGTAATCCGACCAGCTTTGTACCAAGTGCACACGTTTTCCTTAATCTATTTGTACTCACAGCCACGGCGTGGTGTGGTGCAATGTGGTGCAAGCAAGGATAGACGCATGCTAGGGCGTTTCGACCTCGAGAGCTCGTAGTTTTGTCTTAGAAATATGAAAACACACCACACTTTGGCACACAATAGTGGAAATGTAGCAGGATTTAGCTGGATTGGTCTATCGGTGCAGCTATTGCAATACTGCATTTCAGAATCTTGTAGATATGCAACTGCCCCATAAGAACGACCAGTTTCTTACTTCCCCGACTCTAAATAATGCTACACTTATTCACCACGAGACGTATTTCGTACAACTCACACATATCTGCATAAAGTTAGCAAACATGCACACACCCCGAGCCTAACTATTTTCAAAACACACAAGAATATGGCAACTTCCACGTGTACTATTAGCACTAGTTGTTCATCAAGGATACGCTTTGTACAGTGCCTCGTATAAGGAAGAGCAGGCGTGGCGCAGACCACATTTTCATGCTTATAGCAGCAGGTATGCTTTTCCAGAGGCACAGGCTTAGGCCTGGAAAAGAGGCAGAAAAGAAGCAAATATGAGCACATTCTTTGCAACATCCCTCGCCACCAGCATATCTGAACTGCAGGACAAAAGCCCTCTGCCAACAATAATAGAGAGAGAATAATAATTCTTAATAGAGAGATCAGACTCCATTTAGATTCACATATTGTCTATGAATAAAAGCCCATTTATTGACTAAACACAGCACGAGATTACAGGTTGCAATTTGCTTCTTCAATCCAGCCCAATCACCTGCTCATCCAATGGTGCAAACACGCACGTCATCCCTATATGGTCGTACAAGGAAAGACACTCCTCGAAAGAACTTTTTTAAATTTCTGGTCATAGACATTTGAAAATTTTGTTATTAATATAGTTTTTCATGGAGATTTCAAATATACAATCATTGTTTGCGTAGCTGCTATAGTTATTGAGTTATGCCATACACAATAGCAAAAAGTTAACATTTTTTGTGGGTACTCTTTTATAAACTCAACTTTCTGTAGAAGCATTGTGTCTGATCTTGTTTGACTCTTGGTAGATTGTGAAGTGCAAATATCTATCCAGATATGTCACAGAAATATTGAAACCAAGAAAAAAATTGTATTGAATGACTAATTTTCAATCTCCTTTGAAACAATAACCTAATATTTTCACAACTAATGCTGGTAGGCATTGCAATTTCAAGTAGATATTTGCATTCAGTATGTATTGAATATGTTTGCCAAGTTTCCTTGCTTATGGGTGTCGAAAATGCTGCCCGGAAAATGTGAATTTGTAAAAAAAATGAAAAAAAGAAAACAAGTTTGAAAGTTTAGAAAGTTGGCATTTATTAGGAAACCAATTTTTACACAAAGTTGGGGCACGATGAACAGCAGCTTGCACTAAATGCTTGGAAGACCGAGAATCGCACAGAATCGTGAATGTTGGTCATGGCCTGCGCTACAACTGCCTTGACATTTACAGCAAAGCTATGTCACGCCAGCTGCCGCTGTTGAAACGAGCGCTCGTCCCCTGGTCCCTGGCCGAAGTAGTACGTCTTGACGCGTGCGTGAATGAAAGTGTAGATTCAGGGCAATCAGTGTTTTCGCAGCACAGTTAGAGGAATGCCGAAAGCCCTTTGCACTTTCCAGCTACCTCTCGGACACCGAATTTCCATTCGCGGCAGGTTGGGCATTGCGCACACGCCACAAGGGCAGCCAGCATATCGATTTCGCAAAGCAGCGTGTTGGCAGTAGCAGCACCTACTGCTCTACGTTCACTCTCGAAGAATTCGCTCTTCATTTGGGATGCACTGACGAATATCACGGCAGCGACTATTCCACAACCACTGTCGCGGGGTTCGGTGTCAGTGTTAGGCCTATCCAATATTCGAGCGTCGGGGCGTTGGTTGGCAGCGACATCGGCGTTCGCCGTTGCTTTGGCAAGCGTCCGACGCCGTTTCCCTCGATACTTGGGGCGAGTTCTGAACTTCCGATTACCTAGACTGCACTTTTTGGGGGCTTGCCATGACGCAAAACTGCAGAGAAATGCCGAACAACTCTGCGATATTCAAAGGGCTCACTTATGCATTGTTTTTCTTGTTTTTTTTTTTAATTCTCCACGAAGATACGAGACTGGCTACTCGTGAATTGTGAAGGCTTTCGCAGCATGCGTGCACGATTGCAAATGGCGGCTAGCGCGTTGTTTTCGCGACAGGACAATGCAAACTAGGCCATTTTGACGACTCGCGCATTTCTGACGTCACCGCTCCCCACTTGGAAGCATTTTTAGATAACTTCTTGCACGAATTTCAGCTTGATAATTTCAGAAGTAAAAGAATGCCAATACAACTGGAAAAGAAAAAAAAAAACGAAAATTTTCCGGAAAAGCGCTACTTTTCGAACCGCATCTCCCCATAAGGGCAGTGCTTCGCTTACCATATGCGATTCCCATTCCAAGCTTCTCAAAAATGAGCCTCCTCGTACCAGGGCTAACGATCATGAAGCTATCCAACTGAATAACGGTAGATCAACCAAGTTTTCAACCACGTGTAGTAGGCAAGCACTCTGCCGAGAGCAGCAGCACTCAAATAATCCTGGCAACAGCCCATCGAAAATCTGCATACATCACAAAATTTGTCCCACTGACCTTTCCATAGAATTTTTTTGCCCCTATTCTCTATTTTCCTGCACACCCACTGTATAAGAGAAGGGATGCTGTTTGAATGGAGCTAAGGAATCGTAGATGACTCAATGAGTGGCTTCAAAGGATATCAACTACTTTAAAGCTTTTCGTAAAGCTATTCAGGCAAAAAGAAGCCAATGTGTACATTTATTACCAAGGTAAGCCGTGTACCCTGTAGAACCTAACTAACTCCCTATAGTCACGATAGGCAACGTAAAAATTCCAACCTCCAACTTACCTGCATTCACAGCAATCCAAATTGTTCTTAAATTTTCACTGCGAAACAATCACACACCTCAAGTGTACGTAAATTTTAAAGGAAGAAGGCTTGACAATTTCTGGCATAAATATGGTAAGTCTTCTCTCCCTGCTAGTCAATCCACACCACTACTTTCCCTTTCTTGATGCTTTTTCACTTGGCATGTTGATGCAGCTGTAAACTAGAAATCCTCCTATCACCCCTCGATTCTATGGAAATAAAATCTGTGGAGTTGCATACACAATACAGTCAATGTCGGATTTCTCAGACGCCTGGAATTTCGGACATGCCTGATTCCCCCCCCCCCCCCGACTCATCTTTGTGGCACTGTCAAGTACCCCATCAATGTACTAAAAAGTCAGAAATTGTTGCCAACCGATTTTTCCCGACTTTGTGCCGCTAACCGCTGACTCAAAGTCACTATAGATGCCACCATTTTGATTATTTTCAGACCTTCGAAACTACTGCGCCGCGACTGCCATAACCCCGAAACCGAAAATGCCACAATCCAGTGCACGTTAATCCGTTGCCAGCCGCAGCCTCCTGCCGTAGCTTAGGCTGCATGGTGCTGTGCAGTGGTAAAAGCTACGCTGTTGACCTTTGGTCTGCCATCGACATGCTTGCAGACTCATGGAGGGCGGTTATGCAACAGACACCCTCCGGAACTGTTTTCGCCATGCAAGCTTCATACTGCACGCCAAGACAGCCACCTCACCCGGAGAGGACAGTGTATGCGATGAACTTCCACCCACGAACGTTGTCTTCGATGATCTGCACGTTGCTGTTGTGTTGATTCCAGCCGGTATAGCGCCCCTGAGGGCTTCGCCGATGCTTACAAAGACATTGAGCTTTGTGCAGAATTGACCAATGATGAGATCATTCGCCAAGTTACGGAGGATTCTTACGACACAGACAAGATCAAAGAGGCAGCGCCTACACAGCCAACGAGCTCGGAGTTGACTGAAATTGAAACAGACATCATCGTGGGCAAGTGAAACGCCGTGCAAATGAAAATAACACTCTTTCTTTTTCTTGAGCCCAAGGGTTCATAAATATCATAGCGCTGGCCACATTGGATTTCTTTTGGCTCTTTTCAGAGCCAACTAAATAATTTAATTGCTGAATTGCAATGAGAATACTGTACTCTTGTTGCGACTGACTTTTTTAGATAAAAATGTCCATCAAAAAGTGTTTTTTCGCTTAAATTCATTTTTCCAAAGGTCTTCGCGGTGCTTTGAGGGTCTGGGAAATTGGACGTCGACTATAATGCACCACCACAGCACTGAATCAATGCCCCTGTGTGGAATCGGGTGCTTCTATGGTCTGCTCACCTCGACGTGTTGTTAGTGGAACTATCATTCATGAGAAACCGGGCAGCGGCGTCCGGACAGAGCTCCGCTGCACGTGCCATGTGACGGACCAGGGCATCCTGCCTTTCCAGCGCAGGCCGTGCTGCTGCGTAACGCTTGCACAGGAGCTCGTAGCGCTTGCGCAGCTCTGCGCGCAGCCGGCTGATGCGAAGGGAACGCACACTCCGCACCGTTGAAGCGTCACTGCACATATGAAACATCCACTGTTAATACTGCCAAACTCAGACATAGTAAAAGCAGCTCCCTATTTCACTGCATTATCACTTGACATACGAAATCAAACAAATAGGTACCTCAACAGAAACAATCGTAGCATAAAACCGCACAAGGACAGACAGGTAGGTATATGGAACAACTAGTGACTAGTTAACCTGGCTCTTACCTGTTCGTACTCGAGTCTGTGTTATTTTTTCAAATAAACTACCCTAACAAAACGTTCTGATATATACCTCACATATTTTGTGCCTGATGATCAAAACACTCTGATGATCCCCGTTTTGAGAATACTTTGCCAGGATAAGCTCACACATTCATTATTTCTAGAGCTCTTTAGTCTTTTGTTTTTTGTTGTTGTTGTTCCTTTATTAAGCTGCACAACATTGCAGTTATTCTTCACAAAAGAGATAACAGATATCACCAGCCCTAAGCATTTGCATTTTTTTAAGTTTGTATCCAGATCACCCACCAAATACAGTTGAACTCATAATTTTATGAGAGATGTGTACCAGGAAGCAATTCTCGTCTTGTATAAATATTTTTCATCAGCTCCTATTTCGAAGTAGGCACGTATGTGTCTCTTATACCCATTTGTCTGTTATATACATGTCTGTTATAATGGGGTTCAACTGTAGTACTTAACAAAGACCACATCCTTTTTAAATGAACAAGTTACATACTAGGAGGGATGTTAGACTATGAACATCTGACCTCAATACTATTCTGGAACAGAGCAAGGAAGCCAACAATTTTACTTCAACGATCTGTTCTTCTAGAAAGTAACAAAAACATCATTGATTATACAATGCTGTGATGTATAAACCAGTCTAAACAAGCAAATGCCTGGCATCTCATCTTAACCTTTATCAAACTATCATGCCTGTATGCAAGAACATGGGAGGCAGTTTCATGAAATAGCGTGCCAATGCTTACTTGTCCTTCTGTTTGAAAACAAAGAACTGGAAATGTACGCTGAAAAGCAACAATAATTACATGACCAATGAAAGTGGGGACATGACAAAAAAAAAGTGGCGTATGTTTTCATTCATTGCTTCTCATAACTACAGCAACATCATGGACAGGTATGAAAGATTCTCAAGATGTTAGTGATATCACTAACTACAGCATGTACTAAGGTGAAAGTGATTTAGCAAGCACACAGCACACAACAGACCAAGACAAGAAAATTTTTTAACCACTGTCTTTTATTTATTTTTGCAGCAGGGTTAAGACTGCTATTCTGGAGATTCATTGCCTGGCTTGTACAATTGGGAGGAATGCTCGACACTCTAGAGTCTTCTAGAAAAATCATGAGAGTCCGCCGAGCATGCATTACTCGCATGCTTTTGGTACTAATAAGGTAAGTATTAATGATTGATTTATTATTTATATCAAGACATGAACATTCACATTAAAAATCTCACCGTTTATCCTCCCTCTATAATGAACAATCCCCCAAAACAGTTGAAAACCTCTCAGAAAAAGAAAGCAATGTGGGTCTGTTATGGAAGCCTAATTTTACACGATATCTATTATGAGACGGTACCTCTTAAATGAGAGAAAACCAAAGCTTTCTTAAAAACTACCACAGTACATACAATGAACAGCATTTCTTAAAAAAATAAGAACAAGATGAACCTTCCCATTGCTGTGCACACAAAACCAGCATATGATTTCCACTGAACCACCAACAAAAGAGAACCAAGGCTACTTACTTCCAAGCACACTTCACTGAAAAGGGGGAAGAATAGAAAAGAAGCGAACAAGTGCACTCATAGCTTACGGCAAAATGGCGAGACAACATACAAGCCACTTCAATGCTTACCTGCAATCAAGGTCCCAGTTCCATAAAGAAGGCGCTCGATCTCCAGCAACATCTTCATCTTCACTGGAATCGCTATCTGAGCTGTCCAGATCTGCAATGCACCAGTAGTGGCATTTCTGCAGCTTTTGCCTCATTTGTAAACGATGATGTCGACAGACATCCAACCAGGCCAAGTGAGCACATGAAGTTTGATGCGCACTGAAATATCTTGAATAATGCACAGTCCACTGCAAACAGCCAGAGCTGTTGCTCTGATCCAGTGCAGTCGATGGCAAGAATATGAAGGCTTATATTCTTGACGAAACCAAGCCCTTCAAGTAGATACATTTTATCATGCCTAGCCAGTTCAAATGACAATTCTTTACAAGTGAAAGTGCAGTTTTGTTATGTACACAGACATCAACATTAACATTCCATACTGCTTTTTAGCAGTATGGAATGTTAATGTTGATGTCTGTGTACATAACAAAACTGCACTTTCACTGACATCAGTACATATCTTAATACTTCATACTAAACAAAATGGAGGCATTATATCTTATTTTGCACATACATATAATGCGTTTCCTGATGGCACATGGTTTGTTAAGCCTATAAGAAATTATCTGAATTTGACATGCAAGAGCCGAGGAAGAGAAACTTGAGTGCAAAATGACTTTCAAGTAAGTACGCTGGTTTAACTGCACACAATTCATTTTGCAAGGCACAAATAAGTTGAGCAACATTCCCCAGAAATGACAAATTGAGTGGGCACGAGAGCAGCGGTCTTTGCACAGATATAAGTCACTTTAACTTCCCTAGTATAATATAGAATGCAGATGCACCCTACTCATTACTATCTTCGGCACAACCAAGTGAATTTATTAACCCATGTTCAATGTTTTCCCTGACACAAGTAGTAGCATTACAGACAAGGGCCAACTACTCGCAGTGCCAGCATTCATGACCTGATATTAAAAAACCGACCAGATTTTGTTACCTATGCACCAGGCATCTATGATCATTCATTATTTTTATTTTCATTTAATGCACACTGTCCTAATAGAGATAATGAAAAAAGAAAACGGTACGGGACTATAAAAAAGCAAACTTTGACAGGATTAACAGTCAACTAGCAACTTTTCTTGATAAATTTTTAAGCAGTTTTGATACACGTTCAGTGCAGTCTAACAGGGATATGTTTGAAGCTAAAGTTGAACGACTAACCAATAAGTATATCCCTTGCCGTACCATCACATCTAATGTGTGTGCGCCATGGCACAAGGCTTACATCAAACGCTTATCTAACCAAAAGAAACATTTTTAGCGTGCAGCAAGATGTTTATCTATTAGCCACCCACGCTGGGCTGCCTGTAAATCTGCATCATCCATCGGCACTGAAATCCGCTAAAGACAACTTCCTTACTCTAGTTTTGCAGTCTATGTTACAAAATAATGCAAAAATATTCTGGCGAGTTATTAACGCCCCTTATTTCCTTGATTGACTCATCCAGTAACAAAATTAGTGAAGCCCATTGCGCTGCTGTTCTTAACGATTCTTTTATCAAAGCTTCCCCGTAAGATGCTCGAGCATATAATAGTTACAAACATAGTCAATTTTTAGAATCAAATTCATTTTTCACGTCAGCACAACATGGCTTCCGTAAAACATATCCATGTGAAACACAGCTAATATCATTCACTCATCGCTTACATCAGACTTTTGATAAATCATCCCATGCTGACTCTATTTTTCTAGACTTTTCAAAAGCTTTTGACGAGGTTTGCCATAGCCTGCTACTTTACAAGCTACACCAGTAAATCTTGACAGTAACCTACTAATGTGAATTGAATGCTTTTTCACTAACAGATCACAATTCATTATTACAAACGGTCATAATTCTTCTTCTCGCTAAGTTCATTCTGGTGTTCCGCAAGGGCTTGTCTTAGGCCCCCTGTTGTTCCTCCTTTATATTAATGACCTGTCATCTGTTATATCATCTAACATTTATCTATTTGCTGGCGGCTGTGTTATTTTTTGAGAAATTACTAGCAATAATCACATTAATATATTGCAGTCTGACCTTAATGCTATAGCTAAATGGTGCAAAAATGGCTAATGGACCTAAACATTATAAAGTGTAAAATCATGCGTGTATCAAGAACTTGTACTACTTCACCTGTTTACTATCTTAATAACATTCCTTTGGATTCTGTTAACTGTTATAAGAATCTTGGAGTTCACATAACTAATCTCAACTGGTCACCTTATGCATTGAAGAAGAATGGCGATTTGGGCTAGTTGGTTTGAATTCATGATAATAAGGGTTGCAGCGCGAGCACGAATGTGCTAGAAGAAACAGACGAAAGTCAAGGTACGGAAGGCAAAGAGGACGTAGCGCTCGTGTTGTCCTCTTTGCCTTCCGTATCTCGACTTTCGTCTGTTTCTTCTAGCACATTCGTGCTCGCGCTGCAACCCTTATTATCATGGTCACCTTATATTAACATTATTAACATTGTTATTATTAACAATGCTAACCGCATGCTTGGCTATTTACGACACAACTTTTTTAACGCTCCATATGGTTTAAAACTGCAGCGTTATAAAACACTAATGCACCCTAAACTAGAATATGCTACAGTCGTATGGGACCCTGCCTATAATAATTTGGTAACTTCCCTTGAACGTGTTTAGAATAACTCCGTTCGTTTTATATTGTCAAATTATAACACAACCGCCATCATTTCAACCATGAAAACTTTTCTTGCACTCCCTTCCTTAGCACCTCGCAGAAAAGTCTTCCGTTTAACACTATTTCACAAGATATACCATCATCACATCTTGCATGACCAACTACTACTTCGCCCACAGCACATATCCCGCCACATTGACCACCATCGCAAAGTAGGCATCCCTTCATGTAACACAAAGCTTTCTTCAATTAATTTTTGCCTTGCTCATCAAAGGAGTGGAACAGACTCCCCGGTGACATTGTTGCTATTAGCGATAACTTGTTCTGTGTTTCATTAGCTAACATTGTGTAATAAGTTCTTTTTGTTGCAATAGCTAACATTGCATAATTATGTTCGGTGTTGTATTACCTAACATGTATTATTATATAGTGTATTAGAAGACATTGTACTTTTAAGAGATTTATTTGTACGATCTAACTGTATTCACTGCTTTTTATTCATCTACATTTTTGATTGAAAAAAACCCATCCCTCTCTGTATTGCCATTTGGCCCTGAGGGTAAAATAAATAAAAATAAAAAATTGACCTGACAGTAGAAATGTGACAGTTTTTTATATTCATTGCCTCAAGCATACAAGACACTTCTAGAAGTGCCTGATGTTGTTCAATACCTGAAGCCTTAAAGTACAAGGTAAATTGGCACCTCTATTGTGGCACAACTTCCGCATTCCTTGTATTTGTCATTACCTGCTGTAACGCATTTTTCTTTTCTTTTTTGCGATCTGTCACACCCACGCCTTGTTGAGTACATTTAGTCTGCTCACATTCATTTACACTGCAGCACACAAAGCAAGCACATCTTAGCGCTGCATATACAGTCACAAACAGTTTGGCCCTAAACTACTTGCAATGAGTCTGTGTATCAAGCTAAAAGTTCAAAAAGCAAGGGTTTTGACATAACAAGGTACAGTCAGCAACCATGCAGTGCTTGCCAAACTTAGTACGAGCAGAGCAACGGCTAAACGGAAAAAAGCTAAACAGAAAAAAAAAACAGATTAATCTTATGTGCTGAGAGAAGAGATTGAAAATATGTTCAAGCCATCACAAAAAATTCGAACCTGTTGCAGCAACAAAAGGAGAAACTCATGCTCTGATCGTCACCACAACAATACAAACAGCAGCTTCAACTTTACTTAGTGGTGAAGGTTAGATGCGATTGTCGGTGGCTCAAAAAAGCTACAAGGACAAACCACTACACACTCCAATCACTCATTTTTATACCAGAAATATATGAAACATTTATTTATATGGCAAGTCAGATGACTACCTAATATTTGAAAGCGAAGTGGTTCATGGCAGATTTTTTTAAATATTTGTCAATACACATGTTCAATATTCATCATGAAAGGTCATCAGTCGATAGATAAAAACAACCAGTACATGTCTACCTACACACTTTTCACATATATCCAGATTAATTAAGACACGCTTCTCACCTGCACCTCCTTGGATACCCGCACCGGGGAGTTGGTGAATGCCACAGCCTCCGACAGCCCCACCACTGCCACCACCACCACTTCCACTAGCAGCGGCTGCCGCCTCCACCTCCTCCGTCCCAGAATTTTTCTCCGCATTCCAGAAACGCCGCAGATTGCTCAAAGCAGCAGCAGGAGTGGTTGCCAAATCAGTGGTTGCTGCCGTAGGCGCCGTGGCCACAGGCACCACCTTGACACGCCTGTCCCGTCCAGGCCTCTCCCGCGGCCTTGCTAACACACCTGCTTTGGCAACTTCGTGCCTGTCATGCCCAAACACTGCTCCAGCAAGCAGTGACGATGAAACTGATGATGCTGAAGATGACACCATTACCCGGTGATTATGATTGTGACTAGAAGGGCTCAACACGTGCCCACCAGTGTCCTGCTGCGCGCGCTTGAGCTTGTCCAGCACTCGATTCTGTGCAATTTTGGCCTGCAGCCGGTTCATAGTCTTTGACAGCTTGGCTGGGCCTCCAGAAGCGGCACTGGTCCCAGTGCCACTGCTGCACACGACTGACGTGCCACCGCTACTTGTGGCAACAATCTTTGGCTTAACTTCTGCCAAGCCAAACACAGTGGTTCCCTTGGCAAAGGACACAGACGACAACGGCTGGGAGACAATGGGCACCCGCTGGAGTTGCTGCGTTTGGTGGACGGGTGGAACTTCCTTGGGCAAGATTTTTGCCTGGGGCTGGATGCTCCTGTGGTTGAGGGGCAGCTCACAGCTTTGCCGCCCGAGGCTGCCATTTTCGACCGCCCGCTGCGCTTCTGACACGACAGGCAAGGATACGCCAGTGGCGAGTGGGGCAGAGACAGGAATTTGCCGCACCGATGGGGCAGCCGCCGCTGCCACACAACCGGAGGAAGGGGCTTCTGAAAAGTCATAGGGGTCATGGGGTGCGCCTCCGGGCTGGGGTGACTGGTGATTCTCACGCTTGAGCAAGGCCCGCAGCCTGTCGGCAAAGCGCAGCTTTCCTTCAGAAGGTAGCGACAGGGCGGCCCGACGCTGTCGCCGTTGCTCCTTGCGGCCTCCAACGAGCGACCCGTCCACGAGAGTTGCCGGGCTAGTGTACAGGCGGGCTGGCACAGGGGCCCCTAGTTTTCCATTCCTAAAGAGCAGAAGAGTATTCAAAATCAGAGCTATAAGATGACCCAATTTGCTAGATGGCATGCACGTGCAAATGGAACCTTAAAAGGCTACAGCCCATAGCATGGCTTAGTTAGTGCACTCATTCGCGCAGCACACTACACAAGGATCAAGGTGCCGGTGATGCCAGCATCTATATATTATATAAGTGGTTTCAAAGCTTGGCGATATTTACTAGGAATTCATGGAGACACACCATCCTGAGACACAGAAGGACCTTGGGAAAGTCCATTTATCATAAAAGACTACTGATAAGAAAAATTATTGCTTGAAATAAATAATACTAGAGTATTGGCACCATTTTATTTTCCATACATACAGGTGGTAAGGGATTAGTAAACGCTGACTGTACAACAAAAGACATAATATGTGCAGACATTTTCAGAAAAAATGCAAGGGGGCTCACTTCCTGGTGCTAAGCAAACCATGTAATAAAAAGTTCCCCTTTGCCAGCTATCGTCAGTAGCTATTGAGACATAACTAGACACCGCAACCTGGCTACTTGCGACTGTGCACCCGTTTCTCACGCACCAGAGGTTTTGTGTTGTTGATATGCAGCATAAGACACAACATACTGAGGTAACAAAAGTGTGAAACCCCTTCATGCCCTTTACAGTAACACAGGTGAGACGGCGTCAAGAGATGGAGATGGGGCAAACAAAAGAGAAGTGAGGAAAAGACGTCTATTCAGTACGCAAGGTGATTTTTAAGACCTTTGGTTCTCTCGTGTGGGGCCTCCTTATCTCCCCCTTGTGCCCATTCCTCCTTAGAATTAACGACACGGACAAATTTTCGCTCGGCCACCGATCTCCTGATGACCTAATGACAAGTCTACCAATGCGCTTTGCTGGTGTTTCCAGTCTACCATTACATTACATTACGACAACATGCTGCCTTTAAAGGCAAAATCGTCATCGTAGGCCTAGTTTGAGCATAATCGTCATCGTAGGCCTAGTTTGACCAGATAGTCTGGTGACATCATCGGCAGGCAATTCGTCAGCCAATCGAATGCATCTATGTTGTGTCGCTCTAGTGTAAATGCACTTCAAGACATAGTCCCATGTGAGAATACACGGCTGGAATGTCATAAAGGCATAAAAAAATTACTCAGAGCTTCCAATACTTCTTACCACGAAATTTCGATGCAGCTGTCTAGGCGTTATGAAATCATGCTGGGCTGAGGAAAAGCATTTCAAAGCAAACAGTTCCCTAACTTATGACATACTAAAACTTTTATGGATATTTTTGACAGACCCACATGCTAGTAGATAGGACAAGCGGCTTTTTGATAGGTGAATAAACAACCCCAGCAGAGGCCCCATCCCATGACCAGCAAGACACACTGGATATCTGTCACGTTTGGCACTAAATTTTTGCAAGGTCTGACCTTTCCTAAACACAAAGTTTCTGATGTCGTCCTGGAGTGTTTGCCATCAAGAAATTTTTTGAACAAGCCTTCCTAAATAGTGTCGTTTTAAGAGACCAGTAAACCGGCTCCGTCGGCTTGTTTACCGCTAGGGAAAAGATGCTTTTCCTCACACCGCATTTGATCCACACGCCACTATAACACATGCCGACGAGGCCGAAGCCATGCTCGGTTCTTGGCTGCGCGCCAATGACTTATCGCTGGTGTTGTGACGTTGACAAAGTGGGCATAGTCACAACTAAGGGCTACGCCTACTCCTCTCCACTGGGCTTTGAAAATGGTGGGGAGGACAGGTGAAAAACCAAAACCAGCACACATGGGTCGTTTTAAGCCCTGTAACTTCCTCATTACAGCACTTATTCATAATGTTCTTGCGGCACCATATTCACACTGCACAAGTGCGCAGTTATTTCTCCATTAGTAATTTTGGGCCACAAGGTTGTTTGCTGGCCCTTTAAGAATTCAATATTTATTAGCTCCATTCATTCAACTAATGCCAGATTCGTAAATGGGCACTTGAAAACAGCTCTAAATCTCAAGATGACTGTCAACATTAACGCCATCAGCAATGAAGCAATACATGAATGCACCACATGGCTACTGCCTAGAAATCAAGGACGATTCAGGCGCGTATGACCAGCAAAGCTGTACAGCAGAAGACATGTGTGACAATAAATTTCAGATAACACTCTGCAACTAAATCCGAAATATTTGTCGAGAAAGCCTCTCCTGAAGATAGCACATGCTCCTTTATAAAGTTTTCCATTTTAATAAGATGGTACTTGCATTTTTGTGTTCCATTTTGTTTCACAACATGTGTAGTCTTGTCATAACGATCTCAATATATGTTTGCCACACGTGCCTTCAAATTGGTGGCAAACACCAATTGTGCTAACTGTCCCAACCTTGGTGCTCGCCCATCTGCAATTTACGTGAAAAAAAAAATTCAGAAACATCTACCTAAGCCAAAAGTGTTCCCCAAGACATTTTTTTTACAAAAAAAATTTTGCCGTACCGCAAGCCTCATGTGAATTTTTTCGAAAATCTCAAAATCTCATAGCTTGTAAAACATGTCGAAAAATCTGTTCTTCCTAAATTAGGTTAAGGCAAATTTATACCTTTAGAACAATGGTAGCCACTTCAGTTAAAGTAAGTTTTACGAGCTTTTACACTTGCGTGGATTTTTTATGTGGCCTCGAATATTGAGAATATGGTCCACATTGGGGATTTATTCATAGAAAGACAACATTAGGATAAATGTGATAGTTGACATTAGCATATTCCCAGAATATTTCACAGCAGACCAAAAATACTTTCAGGCATATACAGCACAAAATAAAGTTTACAGATGGAGACAAAGTTGCGAAAATGTTCATTTATGCACATGTTCGGCAGTGAATTCAACATCGAGGTGGTCCTACAAAAAATATGCTCAATAACAGATTTAGTAGCAAGCTTCATTGGCAACTCACTCAGAAAGTTTAATCAAATTAATTTTTGCTCTAAGCGAGAAAGACATTTTCTAATTTGTATGTGACCGCTCTCGAGGTTCGCATGTGTTTATACGCTATAACAATGCGTCCTAGCGGTAGATACAAGCTGCACGGATGGGGGATCATCTGGACAAAGTAATCAACTTTGCCCGTACTTATTTAAATTATTTACGAGCTAGTATTACCCTCAGTGAACAAGAAACGCAAGACCTACTTACTGAGTGTATTTAACCCCATACAGCTGTCCGTTAGCAGCCTGCGTAGTATGCTTACGCAGCACCGCGAAGTGGTACCGACGTGTGCAACACACCGCTACCTATATGCTAATATTTAGAAGTAGGAAGAGCGGGATGAAGAAAAGGATCAATTGAAGTGAAAAGAAACAAAAAAAGGGGATACGCTGGTCAGCAGTTAAGTTGCAGTTATGCACCAACGTAAGGTCACTTAAGCCAAATGGTCAATTATATACGATTGTGTTGGTCCTAACTGCAACCTGTCCCGCGATGCAAACCTTTATTTTTAAACATCGTAGTGCTCTTCCTACTTCTAAATGTTAGCATATAGGTAGCGGTGTGTTGCACACATCAATACCACTTCCCAGTTCTGCGTAAGCATACTACGCAGGCTGCCAGCAAACAGGTACATGAGGCCAGATGCCAGTCAGTAAGTAGGTCTCAAGTTTCTCCTGCACTAAAGGCAATACTAGCTTGTAAATAATTTAAATAAGCACTGACAAAGTTGATTACGTTGTGCAGATGATCCCTACATCCATGCAGCTTGTACTTACTGCTAGGAAGCATTGTTACGGCTACAGACAGGTCCAAAGCCTGAGAGCGATAACACACAAGTTCAAAAATATTTTTCTAGCTTAAAACGAAAATTATTTCGGTAAATCTTTCCGAGTGAGTAGCCAGTGAAGGTTGCTCCTAAATCTACTATTGGCCACATTTATAGTAGGACCGCCTCAATGTTGAATTCATGGCCGTACATGTGCAAGAATGAATAGTTCTGCAACTTTGTAACCACCTGTAAACTTTATTTTGCGTTGTATACGACAAACTATTTTTGGTAAAACAGTAAGACATTCTGCAAATATGACAATGTCAACTCTGACATTTTGCCTAATGTCTTTTCATGAAAAAAAAATCTTTAATATGGACTATATTCTCCATATTTCAGACCACGAAAAATCCACGAAGGCATAAAAAACTTGCAAAACTTGTTTTAACTAGAACGCCTACCATTGTTTTAAAGGTGAAAATTTGTCTTGACCTAATTCAGGAATAAAAAAAAATTTTCGACTTGTTCTACGAGCTACGATTGCGAGTTTTCCGAAAAAATTCACACGAGGCTTGCAGTACTTGAAAATTCTTTTCGCAAAAAGTGTTTTGGGAAAACACTTTTAGCTTCAGGTAAATAGTTCCGAATTTTTTTTCAAATAAATTGCAGATGGTCGACTGCCAAGGTTGTGACAGTTGGCGTGGAATGATCCATTTTTCATTTTTTTAGTGGACCAGTGGTAAGTGGTGGTGCTGACCTAATCTATTTGGCATATAACTTTGCATTTGATGCCTATGTGCTTCCATCATTCTTAGTGAACCAGTGGTGACTAGTGGTGTTGCCTTAATTTCTGTGACTTGGCACAAACATTTATTATACTAACAGCACACCCTAGCCCTATAAAGCTTTACTGAAGAAGCAACTTCTCAAAGCTAGATCAGATTCAAACAAAAATCCCACACCCAAAATGGTATGCAAGACTTTTGGTATGCAAGGGTAGGTTAATTATATGCAAGGCTTCAACACCATTCATTAAGCACACTAGCTCGACGCTACACCTATTCAGCTATGCAAACATCAAGAAGCTCAAGTACTTTCACAATTCACAAACAATGCTAAGCTCAGTATAATCAGCCTAAAAATATGCAGCTGGAAGCTAAATTGAAGAAAATAACTAGCAGACATGGCAATAATCAAGGTGTTCTTTAAAGGAGCAGTGACACTAAATTTCAAACTCGAGATGTGGAATTCATTCGATTGCTT